TTGTTTTCTACATCTTGGTGTATATGTGCTGGTGTAGATTGGAGTGCACTATAATGGAGTTTTCTATGAATTTGTGCCATGGAATGGTGTTGTATCTTGGGAAGTTGCTCAATGGGGTTACTGGCACATGGAGGCGGAGAACGAGACACATATGGTAAGTTTGCATCTCTTGCTGATATTTTCTTCCCTCCATTGTGCTAGTGTCAAGAGTTTTCAGACCAGAAATCTTAATTGTGGAAATATAATATTGATGAATGTGTGGACCTGGAAAGTAGATTATGCAAGGTGGTCTGAATGATTGATAAAGCTTCTGTTCTATTTAAAATTATTTCTTTATGCACTCTTATTGATTCCAATTTATGAGCAGGCTGAGTTAGAAGCTACAACAAATGATCCGGGTACAACATTGCGTGCCCCAACGACAGTGGCTGGCCTTGCTCCAGCTTGTAAGGACACTTGTTTTGGTGATCTAAGATTGAAGATCTGGGAAAAAAAATCTGGCAGCACTAAGGGGAAGGTATGTTATCTACCTGATAAGTGTGAGTTTACATTTTCATCAATTTAGGGATAGGAAAAACTATCTGCTCCAATTCCTGCTGAGCAGTGATTATTTTCACATCTTTGGCTTTTCTAAATCGTGGAAAATTTTTGCATCTTAATCTTACCTTTATGGCATAATGCCTTTGAGGGTTTCTGCTCATCCAAATTTGGTCCAATTGAGATGGGAATCAAGGAATGGATAATTTTGAAATTGCAAAAGTGCCTTGTTAGTTTTAATATTGTTCTTTGTGTAACAAAGCCACTATTTGTGTAACTTTTACATGCTATCCTCAAGGCAAATCCCTTAGATTTATTCTATAACGCGAGGTTGATGGATCCAACAACTAAACCATTTGAAGCCTGAAGTGGCTTTTGATAAATTCATCAAACTCAACATCTTCAAGTCTAGTTCTTATCTTATTAATACAATAATTTGACTTCTAATGAAGAAAAAAAGTGATGATATATAATATATTCACGCTTCCAGTCTTTTCAATATGCAGCTAATCTTGGATGTTAAAAGTGACATGGCAGCACTAGAAGTAGGAGGAGGGCCGTGGTTCAACACTTGGAAGGGCGAGACTACAACACCAGAGGTCGTTAAAAATGCTCTACAAGTTGATATTGATGTGGAAGGGATTTTTGGTTTGGCTCCGTTTTTCAAACCCCCCGGGCTATAAGAGATCATTGCATTTGTTCACAGAGAGGAGTACACTCTTCAATCTTCATAGTTCCATTTGAAAGTGTTGTAGCCTGATGATCAATGCTAGTCTGTTGGTTTTCAGCAACTGGCAAAACACCATGACAAGTATAAATCATATAGTAACAATTTGTATAAGACAGGTTGTACTTGAATAGTTAGGTTGGCTAAATTTTTAGTATGGTGCGCCCTATCACCTAATTCTCTGGCCTAATTAATGGCAAGTTGAACTTGTAGTTAGGCAAGATATTTGGCAAATCGCTGAAATGGTTAAGAAATTGTTTATTCATACCCCCACATTATCTGTTATGTTCCTCAACAAATTTATACTAGCACGGACTTAACCCCTATCACTTCATAAGTAATTGGCAACCTCATCTCCTTCTCTTAATAATTTCTCTTCTGACTTCTAAGTTCTGAGAGATTGGTAGCCATGATCATGACCTGGAGACATGGTTTCGTTATGCTTCTTGCTCTCGTGTTGGTGCTTGATGAACGTCAAGCAGATGGTGCGGTGTCGGCAGAAGTGCAAAAGCTGATCCATCAAGCCAACCTGAATGGCCCTTACGTAGGCTTGGTGATTCCAAACCTTTTCGAATTGAGCCCTCTTCTTCGCCATCCTAACTTCACTTCCACCAACTTCACTATACCTTTTTCTGGTAACTTAATTATATATCAGATTAAGAATATCATAACCTTTGGTTGCTATTTGTTAATTTTGTTTGTTGCTCATTGTTTACCATTTTTCTTAATTACGATGCTTTTTTTCTCTCTGACTCTGGATTTTAGGAAGGAGATTTCGGTTTGGAATCATTGGAGAGAAAAGGGTCATACTAGTCATGACAGGACTGAGCTTGGTATGTATATAAAGTTCCCATGAAATGATATCCTACAGCTATCTGGTAAATATATGTATGAAAATGTAATTAGGGGGTTTAATCAACAGATAAATGCAGGCATAACCACCCAGCTATTGCTGACTTTATTCAAGATCGAAGGGGTTGTCCATTATGGAATAGCAGGAAATGCCAATCCCTCCCTAAACATTGGAGATGTCACTATTCCTCAATATTGGTCACAGACATCTCTTTGGTATTGGCAGGTATTGCATTGTGGTATCCAATTTGGTATGATTCACAGGTATACTAATTAGTTGTTCATTAATAAGGAAGAATGCAGTTAAATTGTTCCGCGTGATGTAAAGCAGAGGTACGGAGATGGACCCTTAGACGAGCTAGCCCTCGAATCAAATGGAGACTACACCAGGGAAATTGGGCTCCTAAAATTTGCTAATTTTACCACAAATGTGACTGCCTGTCCCTCAGATGACAACCTATTGAACAATGTTTGGTATCAGCCAGAGGAAGTTTTTCCCATAGATGGAGCTCCTGAACAAAGGCAGCATGCCTTCTGGGTCCCTGTTGATTCCAAATACTTCAGAACTGCTAAAACTGTGGAGGTACTGTTTCTCTAGTTTCATTGTCCTAAAACGTTTTGGAGTAAAATTGTTTAAGGTATTGGTACTTCATACGAGCAGGACTTGAAACTGGAGGGTTGCCTGAACTCAACAGCATGTTTGGATGAGAAACCGAAGGTGGTCACTGTCCAAAGAGGAACAAGTGGCAGCATTTTCCTAGACAATGCTGCTTATCGCAGCTTCATTTACAGCAAGTTCAACGTAAGCCCTGTCGACATGGAGAGCGCATCGTTGGCTCTGATATGTCTGCAGCAAAGGGTACCTTTCATCATTATCAGGGCTCTCTCCAACTTGGCAGGTGGCGGCTCTGCTGAATCAAATGAGGTTCATATTTTCACTTCTCTTGCTGCAAATAATGCTGTCACGGTGGTCATAGAGTTTATTAAGCAATTGTCCGCCAAAATGAGGCTAATATAATCTTCATGCTTTTGCGAGCCAGACATGCTTATAATATATACTTCAATGAAATTGGATATGCTTCTGCAAGTATATATAGATACTGTTTACTAAATAAATGTACAGCATGGATGTGCTTACATTTTCAAACAGCCTGGAAGAACTTTCATGATCCCTAAAAGTATACCCCTGTACTGTCTCTCTTGTCAAAGTTCATGCTGATGAAAACCTGGTTTAGATCCGGATTGGTTTGACAAATAAATAATCTATACTAGTTGTGAACGGAGATTTATAGTAATTAAGTTTGGGAAATGAAAACCGACATGCTTTTCTCAACTAGTTAAATTCATGTTTCGATTTTCTTGCCAACCAAACATGTTTAAAGTAAAACATTAACAGAGTCTATGCCCTTTCACCATTGATTCTCTTGGCAAGCTGGATGATTATGAGCATGATATAATAAAAAAAAGTTAGGTCCCCGGTCAATATTTGATGGTGGTCCTTAATATCTTGGGGTAGCAGTGCCTGCTGCATGGTCGCCTGCTCCATGGTGGGAGCACCCAAGATGTATTAAATCTATTGGTTGCGTACGGACTTGGTTGTGCATGCTTTAATTTTTTATAATAATAACAAAGAAACAGCATGATTTCGTCCTCGATTTTGGTCATAAGCAAAAATAAAAATAAAAATATGCTAGGCAAGTTCCATCGATAAGTCAGCCAAGTATTATACCTTTTTATTTCTTAACGTGGAATATAGTCCCTGCTGCTGGAACACGTTAATGGTTCAAGAAGGAACTATATCATTTCCATTGGTTTACACCTTACAGGATTATTATGAATTTCATCCTAACCTGCATCACCCTATCCTCTACAAAATACCTGATACCTAGCTGGTCACGTCGACTCTCTACAAACCTTTCTACCTACTGTCTCTCTCTGTTTCTGAGAGATGGCAGCCAATGAAAGTTGTTTTCATGATGCTTCTTGCTCTCATATTGATGCTTAAAGAACAAAAACTTATTTGATGATGAGGCTTACCCAGGCTTGGTGATCATTCCTAGCCTCTTCGAAATGAACCCTCTTCTTCAACATCCAAGCTATAATTCCATTTACTTAGCCATAGATGCTGTTGGTAATTATATATGAAAGAAAACTGTCCTTTTCTCGTCTTAACTTAACCCTTTTTACATTTTTGTCTTGTTTTTAAAACCAGCCTTCTGTCTTCTTGCTTTCTATATATTTCTTCTCCTCCCTAGTCTCATTTTTCTCTGCTTCATTAATTACAGATGTATATTAAAGAAAATGATTCATGTACAGTTTAATGACTGATATGACTACAGGTTCCTTTCTATCATTATTAGGGCTCTCTCCGACTTGGCTGGTGGTGGCTCTGCTGAGCCAAATTAATGGAGCTGATACTTTCATTTCTCTTGCTGCAGATAATTCCGTTAATGTAATTGTAGAGTTTATCAAATGAAACAAAAGTACTTGAAAAAGATCAAAACATATATCAGTGTTGCACCACATTATCAAAATAGTTTGTTCTCTTCGTAAATCTAGAGTTTATGTAGTTTTCCAAAATCTTTTATTTCTATGTATTCACTCATACAGTTAGATTTGGTTTTGACCGTGCAGATTGTTGAAGCTAATACTTGCATGCAACCTGCAGTAGCAGTTTAACACTTGTCCAAACTCAACTTTAAGTCCTTAACAGCTATTACTCCTCTCAGCTTATGCATTTACGTGTTGTCATGCATGCTTAGTTCTTAATGCATTTTAACACTTGTCTTATGCTTCTGACCAAGTGTTGTTGACTATTATCCACGTATGAATCTGTTGTACTTAAATATCTTCAGCAACCATTAATGAATTGAATGAACTTTAGTTCCTTGCTAAGCATTTTTGTTCATCCCTGTTTTTTCTTGCCTGTAACAGAGGCTGTATCATGCATCCTTATCCCGACTTCTTCCAAATCACAACACAGATATCTAACTGGAGTGCTATAATGTTATGAGAGACTAACATTCATCTATCCTCTCCTGATTTCCTCTTCTGGTTGCCTGAGACTGACCCCCATCGTCTCCTCGACAAGGACCATAAGCCTTGCTACAAGCAAGAAAATACATGAAATTAAGAATGCTCAAGCCAAAAAGAAGCCAATAATAGTAATCATAGTGGCCCTTATTGACATTGCTTGAAACCCAACTATCCCCTCCTTTTTTAGTAACATCATCAACTATACTTGTTATAAAACTTGCCACCAGACTTGCAACAAACGCTCCTAATCCGAAAAGATTGGAGCCGATGCTTGACATTGTTTTAGGTAACTCAGCGTAAAAGAATTCGATCTGTCCAACTCCAGCGAAAGCCTCAGCCAAGCCACTCAAGACATTATATGGCAGCAGCCATAGTGCAGACATGTGCACCATGGCTTGTGGTTCATCCGAAAGTCCTTCTTGAATTGCAATTTCCCGTCGAATATACTCTACAATTGCTAATGCTACCATGGATGCACAAGAGCAAAGAAGTCCAATCCCCATTCTTTGTTTCAAACCAAGACGAACCGGTTTTCCTTTCATCTTCGATGCTAGAGGGAGTAATATCCGATCATACAAAGCAATCCATGCTATCAGAGAGATCATCAAAAACATGCTCAAGGAACCTGCTGGAATTTCAAATTTTGGAGTAATATGTCGGTCCATGGTGCCGGCTTGAATTACTGTAAAAGAGCTTTGAGTAAGAGTCACAGAAATCATGATTCCAGTAGAGAAGAGTGGTATTACTCTGATTAATGCTTTAAGCTCTTCTACTTGATCAACTGTACAAAGACTCCATGGGTTTGAAGCGTTTCCATCCGAGGTTAAATCCTGTTGAGGATTTTTTATCACACAAGCTTTATTCAGAAACCTGGACAGATTAAAAAAATTTTCTCATCAGAAGGATGATTAAGCTAAAGTTAGCAGATTAGCAAGGCAATATATATATTTCCGCCAGCTTCACAACCTTGCAATGATGAACAGGCAATTCTGATAATACCTTAATTTTTCACTTGGCATGTGAAGCATTGATCCCTTTCTGAGACAGTACACCTCATCTGTGGGTTGGGATGGTAAGTTAATGTGTCTATTTCTGAAAGAGGCGACTAGGACTTGAGCGAAACCAGTGAACAAGCTTGTCCTGGCTTTCAACTTGACGTAGAGAGAAGATGCCAAGTAGAAGGAAAGAGCTGAAATGAACATTAGCATGACAGGAACCCCGAAACCCATTTTCCACCCCAGGTTATCTTGAATATAAACGATGCCAGTTACGGCAATGAGAGCTGAAAATGAGACTGAAGCATAGTACCAACTGAAGAAGCTCTGTAAGGTTTCTGCATTTTCCGGATTGCTTCCCTTGTTCAACTGATCCGCACCAAAGACCAAGGAAGACGATCTTATGCCACCGGTTCCAATAGACATTAGGCCTAAGGAAGAATATAAGAACAGAAGTTGAGGTGTCGTGGGGGATTCGCAAATGCTGCTAAATTGGTCACAATAAGGTCTTGCTTGCGGAATCATGGCTGTTAACCATAAGAGAACCATCCCCTGTAACATAAAAAAGTAATCAGGTAAACTAATCAATGAGAAAGAAAAATAAAGATTCCTTTTAATAATGGTGGCATATCTCTACATAAAAACTTCAAACTTTTTATCAGGAACTCCCAGACAGAGCACTCCCCATGCACTTTTTTAACATGTTACACTGGATACTATTGTACAGAATTCAACATATCATATATTCAATTTCTCCAATGTTTACTTCAATGGAGCAACCTACTCAGGCATAAGCAAGCCACCAGATATAAACAATTATTACAGATGGAAAATCTTGCTGCAATATCAGCGGTTGACTAATCCGGGAAACAGCCAATTATTGTGGGTTCCATCAGGAAATGCCAAGCTAGTTTCCTTGGTTCCTTTCTATTTTATCTGATTCGATAGAAGACGCTGGTAGATTTAAGCCCTTTGTTTCCAGTCACACCATTCTTGGTCTCACCTTTTGTCGTTGGCTAAATTTTATAATTTATTTGTTTTCTCACTCCCATTTAACAAATGCTGCAAACTTAGCAGAAAAAAAATGGTGGGATTAGGAAGAAACTCAGTTTTGAATTTATTAAAAAATCATTGAGCTTTCTATAAAGTTTTACTTTCCGTCTCATTCAAAGAACTGAAAGCAAACACTTGTGTTGGACAAACGCAGGCAGGGTCCCGCTCAATGAATATAGTTATTTTCAATACCCCCACGTAGAAATGCCATGAAAGGGACATCTAAAAGATTAGGCTCCCCCGACCAATAATGTAAACCAACAACAACACAAAGTGACAAGTCACAACATTGTCCACTGACTTAAATCTAACAAAATGGAAGTATATATCAAGACGGCAGGAAGTTAAACGGGATTACCAGAAAACTAAGAATGGACCCGAATCCGATCATCCGGTACTTTCCCACATAAGAATCGGCAACAAAAGCACCAAGGATCGGGGTGAAGTTGTTGGCAGCTGTCCAGATGAAGATCACCTTGGCCGCTCTAGCAGTTTCCATACCATAATCTCTGGTCAGATACAGTATCATGTTCGGCGATAGCCCCAAACTCGCCACCCTTTCAAAGGCCTCGTTTGCTAATCAAAAGAAGTTGCATGAAAAGTGTATGGACAAGTGAAAAGAATCATCGATCATGCATGCACTGGAAAAAGAAATGGAAAAGTTTTGGGGGCGTACGTACCTATGATGAAAGGCAGGGTTCTGAAACCACCCTTCGAGAGAGAGGGTGTGATCAGGAGCGGTTCTCTGATCGTCTTCTTTTCATCTGAAGGAGTTGTTTCCATTGGGATTTTCTTTGGTTTCGCCGGCAAAGGAGTTGCCGCACTACTGAGAATAATGAGAATTAAAATGAAAGATAAGTGCTGCTCCTCGTTGAATCAAGGCCTCCTGTAATGTGATTGATTTTCTAGTTATAAAATCAAGAGAGGGTTCATCAATCATAACGACGTGGACGACCAGCTTATTGTATTTACATTAGTGTAAGCTTGCACAAGACTTTTTAAAATATTTTTTTGAAAAATAATTCAGATAAGATTGTTTAATTATATAAAAATATATGCATTTAATAGTTAGAAAAGATGGAAGAAAACATATATAAATACTCGAATAACATAATATAAAAAAAGTTTTTAAATTATTTAAAAAATTATAATTAAATTTTTATATTTTATTTTGATTTAAGTTAATTTTTATAATTAATAATTAATTATTATTATTAATTAAAATATCAATGATCATTTTATATCATATGACATGTTATATGTTGATAATATATGATATATTCATGTGTTATTTTTTACTTTTTATATCAATGTCATATCATTATTTTATAAATATAAAATAACAAATTATATTTTAAGTAATAATAATTAATTAATTTTTAATCAACCATTAAATAAGAGATCAATATGTTATTACCATCCGTGAACCATTGTTCTTACTTCTAACTGTCTAAAGGCTTTCTAACAGGGTTACGATGTAAGATACTCAAATTTGAGGAAAAAAGTGTAATAATCAAATTTAAATGACAACCCCATTGCTTCTCTAAATTTCAAAATTCTACCCTGTTGTATTGGCCAAAATCTAATTATCTCCCTGTCATTCTTTAAAATTTCAGACCGCTCACCCAAACCTTTTTTCCCGTTCCCGACTTCCTTTCCCTCTCGTCATCTCTGTTGAAAATCAATTCTTCAAAATTCATCAAATTCGCCAAAACGCCCTTCGCAGAAAGTCACCGCTTCCCCTCGTTCACCTCATTCCGTCGATCCCTAAAAATCTCGGTTTTCTTCATCAATTTCTCAATCGCGGGCCCTAATTTTCTCTCTCTTTCCCGAATCCAACCACAAATCGACTGATCCTCGGGAAAGTGAGAGAAACAGGGAGAGGAAGAAATCCGGCTGATATATGGAGAGGATCGTCGGAGAGAAGTACAAGCTAGGTCGCAAAATCGGAAGCGGATCGTTCGGTGAAATCTTTCTCGGTATTTTTATTCTTTGTAGCTATAGCTCTCCTTTTATTATGCTAATTCAGCTCAAATTGATCAGATTCTAACATATGCTTTTTCTTTCGTTTTGGTTTTGCTTGGTTTCAGCTACTCATATTGACACAGGTGAAACTCTCGCGGTAAAGATTGTAAGTCTTCACTCTACAAGTGAATTTATTAGCAAGTTCTTATTTTTTTTCGTTTATTTATTTGAATTTGTAACATAAAAAGAAAATTTAGCTGAAATATTAAGCTTCTGAGGTGGAAACTGAATTCTGTAACACAAAATTTAGCTGATTTTGTAATATTTAAAATTTTGCCTAATTTTTGCATGGTGACACAGAAATTAGTCAATATTTTTGTCAAGTTATGAAATTGATTATGCGGCTTGATTTTATAGTTGAAAATAACTTTTAAGTTTCATCATTTTGATGAAATATCTATTGTTTGAAGAGAGTAAAATCGACTTGATATAAATTAGTAAACTTTATTTTTGGGTTGGTGGCAGGAAAACAGGCAGACAAAACATCCACAATTGCTATATGAAGCCAAGCTATATAATATTCTTCAAGGAGGAAGTAAGTACAAGTCTTTGGTAGTTTTATGTTGGGAATGCAGATTTTTGTATAAATGTTCTTTTAGTTATGTTAATACTATTCATATTTACTCAAATTTCTTCCATCTTAGGTGGTATTGCACATATAAAGTGGTGTGGAGTAAATGGGGAAGATAATGTGCTTGTTCTTGACTTGCTGGGACCAAGTCTGGAAGACTTGTTTGTCTATTGCGGGAGAAAATTTTCATTAAAAACAGTCTTAATGTTGGCTGATCAAATGGTAATCAGATAAAGATTTTGCAAAGAAGAGTTGTCCATATTTTCTAGTCTTACATAAGAATAGGCTAGTTGCTTTCAATTTGCTGTTAGTATTTACATGCTACTCCATTTGAATTTTTTTTTTTCCTTTGATGAGGTGTAGATTGCAAGAATAGAATTTATGCATGCTAAGGGGTTTCTGCATAGAGACATCAAACCAGATAATTTCCTCATGGGTCTTGGCAGAAAAGCGAATCAGGTATATTTCTTCAATGTTTGATTTGCACAGATAATCCTTCTCTTATTTTCTGTTCTGCTTTATTTTGTATCACTGTTTTGTCCTCATCAGGTCTACATCATTGACTTTGGTCTTGCCAAAAGATATCGTGATCCCACCACTAATCGCCATATTCCTTACAGGTAAGGATTAAATTACCATGTTCTTGCTCAATATCTGGTTGGCTTTCCTTTTTAACGTGATTATCAATCAAAATTACTAGATGAAGCTTCATTTTTGTATCCATTTTAATTTATATTTTTCTTAATTCATTTTAATTTCTATTTTTTGTCTTTTCCTTGGTTAAGTTGCGATTTTCCCTTGATGACTCTTACAGGGAGAATAAAAATTTAACAGGGACTGCACGGTATGCAAGTTGTAATACTCATCTTGGAATTGGTAAGACTTGTTGCCTTTTTCTTGTTTTTTTACTATTCTCTTTAATACAAGGCAGACTTCTGAAGTTGTCTTTATTCTCTCTTTAATGTCCACAGAGCAAAGCCGTCGAGATGATTTAGAATCGCTTGGCTATGTTCTTTTGTATTTCTTGAGAGGAAGGTATGCCCCATTTCACTGTCATTCATCTTCTGTGACTCAAGTATGTAAGGATTTGTAGTTGGACGTGGTTTTGCTGTAATCTGTACCTTATTCATCTTAATTGCTTCATTTATTTAGATGTTCTTCTGCACTGTGATTCTGAATGTACATATCTGACTGATTTTGTTAATTTTTGCATTTAGCCTTCCTTGGCAGGGACTAAAAGCTGCTACAAAGAAGCAGAAGTATGATAAAATATGTGAGAAGAAGTTATCAACACCCATAGAGGTATTTCCTTTATAGATATCTTCCCACCCATAAAAGAGAAATGATTTTAGCATCAGTAGTTGTTCAATACTTACATATAATTTGTTTTGTGTTCAAAAGGTCTTGTGCAAGTCACACCCTGTGGAGTTTGCATCATACTTTCATTATTGCCACTCTTTAACATTTGATCAGAGGCCTGATTATGGATTCTTGAAGCGCTTGTTTCAAGATTTGTTTACTCGAGAAGGTAATGACCTACTTAAGTTCGCTATATTCCTCATGCTTTCTGCAATAAATTGCATGTTTGGGTAGCTATGTTCACAACTAATAATATTTCATTGATCTAGACTTTTCAAACCTGCTACCTTTCATTTTGAAGTCCTGTCTGGCATTTATTGCAAAATCATGTCCCTGTGCTGACAACATCAAACTGATATTTGTGTTTGCTGGTTTTCAACTCCCTTATATTCTATGCGGCAGGATATGAGTTTGATTACATATTTGACTGGACCATACTAAAGTACCAGCAGACACAAAGGACAAAGACACATCTTCAATCATCTGTTAGTATTTTCTGAATTCCTTTTCATTACAATATTTTTTCCCTTTGATTGGTCATTTAAAAGACTTTCATTCGATGAATTGTTTGTGGCCCAAGTATTTCACAAAGCTTTTCAACCAAAAATGTATCAGGAGTGATTTGTTTAGAGATGCATGGCTCAGTGATAGAGGCTGCTTCAAATTCTAATCTTTTTTTTTTTAAAGTTACTTCAAATTCTTATTGGTTCTCTTACTCTGTCTTGAATGATTATACAGTTTATACTTTTTTCTTTTGATTTTTTCAGGATTTGCAGCCTTTTTCCGGGACAAGTAACAGTCAAGCAACGCCTATGGATAAGCTTAAAGGTAAGTGCTTCAAGCATTTACTGATATTTTTTAATAATAATTTTTCCATTTGGTATCTTGTCGTTGTTTCTGTCTCATGTAGGAAATTGTCTTTTGTGAAGCACATTGTGCCTTAACTCATTTTTGAATTTCAGGAATCAAGGATGCTTCTTATTCAGGTGAAGCTATGGAGCACAGAGGACCACGTAACCTTGGTCGTCCAGACGTTCGTATGCAGTTTAGACCTTCAGTTGGTCGAAATATGAGTGAGAAACATGTAAGTTACCTGATGAATCATGCTATATCTTGGTTTATTTGTACTGCCAGTTTAAAGAAAATGAAATGTATTGAAATTAATGTGGCATACTTTAAAGTGGCTTTGCTCCATACCATTTCTGTTTACTAGTTTTAGTATGATGTAGCTTCATCCCATAGTCAGTCAATTTAAAATAACTGCTGTGGATATGGCCATTACAGATGGGGAGCAGTTCCGTAATGCCATCCACTTCATTTGCTCTGCCTGGTTCCTTGAAAAAAAATCTGCCAAAAGCAGAGGGGCCAACTGAAGCTACAAATAATGGCCGTGGGGCCAACAAGACTGGTGCTTCAAGCAGCTGGATGCCATCATTTCACAGAATATCTTCAGCTAAGTGATTGGTATAGAAATACATCTTTCAAAACTATCTCATTTATCAGTTATTTTGCGTATATTCTTACTTTCTAAGGAGTCAATGCATAGACTTATATGTATCAGCTAACCTCAGGTTGTGATTTCGGCTTTGGATTTTAGGGAACCAAGAACTGGTGTTGCAAGTGTCATAAAGTTTGGACATTGGATAGCTCAAGATCTTTGCTGAGAGATGGCAGATTGTGTTATCTGCTTTCGACAAGGTGGTCATGAGAGAACAAATGTGTGGGATTGGGCTGGGATCTGGTCCATCAAAGCCTGGTTTTTTCTGCATGCATAGATGGGGAGAATGGTTAAGCCGGTTTCATGTTTAATTGTTCGATGAATGATGTGTAAAGTGTTTTCTCCATTCTTCTGTTAATAGATGATAAGGTTTCATTTGTGGATACAGTTGTTTTGACCTTGTATCTCATTTAATTCAGGATGCATTTGCTTTCTTTTCTCATTGCTTCATAATTTGGATGAAAGCCCTTGATGTTTACCTGGATCAATTTGAATCTAGGTGCCTGCGTTCACCAGAATCTGAAAAAGTACTGTAATCTATTGTTTCAGGTACTGGACTATCTTGTTAGTTTTTGGAGATTCTGTAAGTTGTCATTATTTTATAACTGTATGTTTCATTGGAATTTTATTTGCTTGACTCTATATAATTGTCTCTCATTTGCCAGTGGTGGATATGAGAAGAGTTTAATTGATCAATAGCTGTCACTGCTAATATTGAAGTGATATGAAGATAGTTTTGTAATTATCCATTTGGGGTATGGATCTTGGAGGTTCATACCTTAGAGAATTGAGGTAATTATACCACTTTAATTTGTTCTTTCTAATCAAAGTATTGCAGCACCTTTCCAGTCATTAATTTTGTTCTGATTGAACTTTGAAACCCTCTTATTGTTTATTGATCTTTTTGGGCTCTATTGATTCCTTGGTATGACATTTAGAGCTTAAATGTGATGGAGAACCACAAACTTTTTCAGGTAGATTATGGTGTCATCAATGAGACTGTTCTCCACTTTCTTACCTCTTTTTTTTTATGCTAATGTCATTTTGCCCGCATCTGAACCATTGATACTTTGTTTTCATGATTTAACTTTTGCACCTGTCAGTAATTGTTTTATTGGGCTGTTACAGGTCAAAGGAGAAAGGGCCATGCTGAGAGCCATGGCACGTATTATAAGATGGAAACTTAAGCAGTCAAGGTTCCCCGAGTATTAGGTAGCATGCTTGCGTTGAATTCCACCAAGGTACCGTGGAAGTTCAACAATGTTTTCCCCAAATCAAGAAGTCCACAAGTTTGAACCTGAGTTCTACCCTTTCTTGGTTATTTTTCGTCCATTAAAAACTAGACGTTGATAAAATCAATGTTTGTCGTCTGATTTCAGTGCCTGGATGCGCTGTATTTCCCAGCAAAAGAATCATTGACTTGGCTCCATTTTATAACTATTTCCCAAGTCATGAAGGCATTTGAAGATTTTTGTTTGCCGACACTCTTTGATAAATGACCAGATAGTAGTCCATAGACATTATAAATTGGATTATGAGACCACATTCAAATACCAAACTCCATTACCATATTGAGCAGGATAATTGTCAGTAGATTTTGGTCCAAACTGTATATTCCATACTATGCAAAAGAAACGAGTTCTGTCAGGTCAGTATTCAATATTCCAGGAGTAATATAACTTTCTGTTCCAAAATGTTTCCCACTGAGTACAAAAACAGTAAAATCACAACCCTAACTGGGATACACCGTTTGCCTTTTACAGAATTTAGGACAAAGAAAAAGAAAAACTTTTCCAGAAGCCTGTCAGATATCAACAATTTTTTAGAGTAGATGGAGAAAAAGGAGGTGCCAAAAAAAAAAGAAGAAGAAATTGTAAGTGATCAGGTATGGCCCTGTTGAGCCTCAGTGCGTGTTGGGGCCCCTGTTTTTTGCTTTGCATTTGCTTCTAGACATCTGTTCAATGGCAAGCTTCGGGTACAGCTTATACTGCAAAGGGTTTGTTGGGCGTGCGAGAGGGCCCTGGCCACTAGCTTCAGTCACGGATAATGGTGACAAAAGAGAACTCAGGTCATTATGACTACGCCGCTCACCCATTATATCCTTTGTTCTTTATAAATTATTCTGTAAAGCTGAAAAACGGGGGAAGTTGAGGACAAAGTTGAACTGCGTTTCATGGGAGCCTTTCCGGTACAATAGAATATATCCCCTTCGCTTTTGTTTTTCTCTCTCTTTTCGTTTTTCCCAATAAAGAAACCATGCAGCTTAGATTCACTTCCCATGTTAAATGTCAAACTGTTTCTTTCTCTTCCTTGGCTTGTTCTTGCTGTGTTTGCTGGAATCGAAGTCTCAGCTTGAGTGAAAGTGGAGAGGAAGAGAAGTTTAAAAGTAAGGCTTTTACTATTTTCAGCTTGGTTGCCATCAATACTAGACTACTAACTTGGCTCTTTGGAATGGTTGTTTACTTACTTGTTATGGTGTTAGTGAGCTCATGCAGTATAAAGAGCTCGTCACAGAGGCTGGAAAATATAGATGAGAATGGTCGTGCAAGGTGGTTACCACTGTCTGGCCCCCCGCCTGAAACTCCTACAGAGTCCATGGAGTTTCTTGCCAGATCATGGAGTCTCTCGGCTATGGAACTGTCCAAAGCTCTTGCGAAGACGCATGTAGCTTCCGACGGTCTTGATCAGAAGCCATCTGTTTCTTCTGTTGGACATGAAACGCATGATGCAAGTTCTACTTCTTCAAGGGAACCTGTAAGATCCCTTCTTTAATTCAACCTGTTGTAGACGACTTCTTACATAGTTTTTGGTTTCTAAACGAGAACCAGCAGCTTAAATGTTCTCGGGATCAGCTCAAATAAAGACTTAGCTATATATGAAGAAAGCGACTATTAGTATGAAAATTTTCAGGTTTGTTTGGTTGTTCTGTACAGCTAGTTCAGCAGTTACCTGGTGGCGGTAGCCCTCCAATATCACCAAGGGAGAGTGAAGATTTAAAGGTACCTCGGTTCCTGTTGTCTTTATGAGGCCTCGCATTGGTGGATGCTAATGATAATCTTTGCAATGTTTTGCACATGTTCATCTAAAAGATATACACCCAAGCTGATAATGCCCTTCAAGCCCTTGTTATTAGTTTGCCAGATTCTGCTGCAACAGTTAGCATCCCCAGGCTCCTGTCCTGCAGCAATTGATAGAATATTATACCGTTCAACGGATTGTAGTGGTGTGTAAACATATTATATTGTTCAGGATTGTCAGAAATATGCAAAGCAGGGGAAAAATAATCTATCTGATTCTACTGTAACCACTTACACTAACTTCTAACATTTGTTTAATGTGCAGGAATTATTTTTACTTCATCAAGCACTGCATCAGGAATTTCTCTCTAATCAACAACTGCTTAAAAATGGGGTATGTATCTCCTAATTCAAGCTTATCGTAATCATTAATTTACTCAACAGTATCATCATACTTAACCTTATCGCCAATTTGAAGGTATACAAGAGCATAGTAAGAGGGCGAACAATGGGGAGATGGCAGAAGGATCAGAAAGAGAGGAAGAAGCAGGAAATCAGAACCCACAACGCACAACTACATGCAGCCGTATCAGTTGCTGGAGTTGCAGCTGCCGTTGCAGCAGTTGCAGCCTCAAGTGTAATGTTGCCGGAAATGACAACTACCTGTCAGAAGTCATCTTCTAAAGTAACAACTGCTATTGCGTCTGCGGCGGCTCTTGTTGCATCGCACTGCATTGAGATTGCAGAGGACATGGGAGCTGATCATGACCAAATTTTAACGGTAGTCAACTCTGCAATTAATGCAAGAACAAATGGAGATATCATGACACTAACAGCTGGAGCAGCTACAGGTTGTTCCATCGCATCTAAAGTCCATCATCTAGCCAGAAAATATATATAGCACTATTAACCTTTTGACTTTACTGTTTCCATGGCTGCAAGACAGCCATAATTGAATTAGAGACCAACAAGCGAAGGGGATGATAGCTGAAACATGATAATGGAATGAATAATCAGTAAACGTCATGAACATATCATTAATAGTTCAATATTCAAATTATTTCAGAGGACTGTCAACTTTAATTTTACAAATTCATGCAGCCTTGCGAGGAGCTGCCACACTAAGGGCAAGGCTGCAAAAGACTACAAAATTTGCTCTAGGAGAGGAAAAGGGTGAAGGAGGCATCGAATCTAACATCTCATCAGCATTGAACTTTGTTGCTACAGGAGGGGAACTACTCAAGCGCACAAGAAAAGGTAATTTTCACAAATCTCATTAGTCGGAAATATCAAATCTTCGGTCTTCAGTATGTGGTAACAATATTCCTTTGCACTCATCACTACATTTATTTATGTTGATGACAGGAGCTCTACACTGGAAGCAAGTTTCTTTCTACATAAACTCTAACTGGCAGGTATAAAGCAGGAGAAAAGAAATCCTAGTAACCATGTTACATGCTTGTAAGAATTTAGACAATTTCGAATTTGATTATATGGATTTTTGATACTCAAAATGTAAAAGCTCACTAGTTTAGCTACATAGGCACAAGGTGGTAATTTTTCTTTTCTTCTCAATGCGTACTTTTACCTTGATCTGTTAGAAAAGATCACTGTGAGTAATTATTTCCAAATTGTCCAAAAAAAATAGGTGGTGGCTAAATTGAAAAGCAAGCATATGGCAGGCACATACACTAAAAAGAAGATGTGTAAGCTAAGCCTCAATACTCAAATAAATCAATTTCCTTATTTCTCCTGCCTGCGTTAACAGAGTCTATGTTGTGCTTCCAGGTGTGATCTCAGGAGTCCATAGAGACATCCCAGCATGGCCTAGAAGGGAGAGGGAAGACAATGGTGAGCAGAGAGCTTATTTTGGGATTAAAACTGCTGACAGAATAATAGAATTTGAATGCAGAAGTAAAGGTGACAAACAGATGTGGACAGATGGAATCCAGCATATGTTGAATTGTCGTAACAATTTAGCATATTTCTGAGAGAAACTAAGTGGATTTGATGGGAAAACTAGATTTTCATTTCTGTAAAGCAATTACGTTGAAATGTATATATCTGATTCCCCAGGCACTAGGTTTACTTTCCAATAATAGCAACTTCTACACTGCCATACAAAAAAAGGGGAAAAAATATACAAGATGGGATTGAGCTTCTCCTTCAAGGTTTTTGTTTGAGAAAGAAAAAGCTTGGCTTGGCAGATGGCAGCACCTAATGATCAAAATTGTTATGAACCTCTCACTGGATTCAATCAATATAGGTATCAGCTGTGATTATATTTGGTCATTCTAGCTCCTTGAGGAAATCAATGTTATCAACAAAGACCTGTAAGGAAATCAATTCATTTGGATTAATACAGCTATAAAATCACAAGAAATAGAACCCACAAAGACATACATCGTATGCTCAATCATTGTCAGCCATACCGATTTCCAGCCATCTGGATCCAGGCAAGCAGTAATCTTGGTGTTAATGCCCGGCAAGGGCCCAGGCTCACGAGTAATCTTTCCTCCACATAGCTTAATTGCTTCTGCAGTCTTATAAACATCATCCGTGCCTATTGCAATCTGGTAAGATACGAAACTTCAGTCTACATATAACATCGAATAGGCCTAATGTCGGTCCAAACTGAAACACTAAAAAACAATGCAGGAAAAAAGAAAAAGAGAGTTTACCTGTGCATAACCATTTCCTTTATCATATTCTGTGACCCCATAGTTGTACGTTAGTTCCAGCACAGCGTTTTTATCTTCAGGACCATAGCCCATCACGGCTATTGTATACTGAAATTTATGCACAAATATTAGCATAAATGTGAAAATGACCAGATAAGATCACATATTCAGATATTTTGATGGTGGGAAAGGGGGTTATCTTTACCCTATACTCAGGATTATCTTTTTTACGAAGAAGCTCCATGCCAAAACCCTACAAATCCAGGAACAAAGATTGGGATATAAGCATTTTATAGTGCTATGAGCTATAAAAGTAATTAAAACTGGTAAACTTCAAAAATAAAAAAAAGTTCCTTGACACTGTAAAAAGCCACTCACCTTCTTATAGAAATTAATAGAGCGATCAAGATCACCAACTCGAAGCATTTCTTGACAAAGTGGCTCAGGTGCACGCCTCCTCTCTAAAAGTTCAAACTTATAACCGTCTGGATCTTCTATAAAAGCAATTATTGTAGTCCCACCTTTGACAGAGCCAGGTTCCCTGGTAACCTTGCCCCGCTTTGCTTTGATTAGATCTACTGTCTTCGCAACCTACAAACAATTAGAATACAAAAGTTTTAAGTTCATCAATTTGCATGAATGAACCTATTTTATGGAAAAGGCAGAGCTGAAATGAAATGGATGACTCCAAACTGACATGACTAAAATTATGCATGGCCGGCTCTTTGGTGAGCGGCAACAGCTTCAGATATAGTCAGATGATAGAGGACATGTTGAATTTCTAAGCATTATGGGCTATACAAACAGATGCATGCTCATCAAAACAGCAGCTACATTCTGTCAGAGTTTTCACTAATTGCAACCTCAAGAAGATCTGTTTGATGAAAGAACTTACATCCTCTACTGCAATACCAAAATGACCAAATCCATTTCCAATGTCATATTTGTCAACTCCATAATCTGAAGAAATAAAATACAAAAGTATATTAGAGACCAACTTTTTTAATATGAGAAATTATGAATTTCTCATCAGTAGTTAAACGTGAAATAGAGATATAAGCATTCAAACATGCTGAAATGAGCTAATGGCTCACTATAGGTAAGTTCAACAACAAAATGAGAATCTTCAGGTCCATATCCAAGAAAAGCATTTGAATATTTCTCCTCTGGTATGTCACGTTTTCTTAACAGCTTCATTCCTAAGCATTCAGTATAAAACCTGCAGTTTGACAAATTAATTAGTCATCTCATTACATATCCTGAATCACCAAAGGGTATATGTGTCAATTATTCACAGTTCCAGTCAATGAGAAAGCATACTTTATAGTCTTCGCCAAATCACCAACACGGTAAACAACATGAAGCATTCTTCTTTTGTCATTTTGAACCCAATGTAATGCATCTTTCTCCTTAACAGCAGTAGCCATGTTTCCAGATGTACTCTCAATTGAGTTTCCTTCTACTCTTAATAACTTAGCTGCTTTTGAACCAAACAACTGTGACTGAGGGATAGCTGAACAAGCATCAAAACTCCGTTAGCATTGGTGAAATAATCCATTTTGCATGCATATGCCTAACAAGTGTTTAAAGAATTAACAGCCTATTCTTAAATCAATGAACCAAACATCAAATCCATAGTACCAAATGCTGAACTGGTTTTTGGCATTTTGTCAAGCAAAAGAAACATGATGTGACATCCCACTGAACACAAAGAGCTTACATAGACAAGCAAAATTTATATTGCTGGAAACATTGTTAAAGAAAGTAAAAAAAAAAAAAAAAATAGCCTCACACTCTACTTAAATTATCTGTATCAGTCTGCAGCAGATTGAATAACAACCTGGACACCCTCAAAGGTTCACTAAGAAAGCAAGGGAAAAACAATTAAATGGTCTATTCTTGAGCTCAATGAACTGCATTAAAAATTTGAATGACTCAATCTACGCTACCACATTGTAGGAATATAAATAAGTTGTGCTTCTCTTGTCTTTTCCTTGGCTTTCGCAACAAAATTCTATCCCAAAACATAAATGAACGTGTGAAACAGTTAAAGAAAAAAATGAAATGGGTTTTTCCTTTTTAAGGATTTTAGAGCTTTTACCAGTGCCAAGTTGAAAGAGAGCGAGTCTTCGAGAAGGACGGTGATTGTAACAGTTATGTATATGACAAACAGAAGAATGTGTAAAAGAGTTTGATGGGAAAGAAGGCCTCCTCCTTGAGAAACTCAGGGAGGAAGCTGATGCAATTGGCAATGTTCCCATCAGCATTTCCTCTACCTTATGTTTGTTCCCAGTATCTTATTCTTAATCCGACTGTCCGACACACTATCCAGAGCTTTCTTTGGTCATAAACTTCTCTGGCTTGCGGTTCTGGTTTTTGTCCCTTCCAACACATTACAGATGGACTGAAAGTACTTAAACAACGGGCTTGGCCTAGACGTCCAGTAATGTCAAGGCAAGGCCGTGGGCGTTGGAGCAGTAGTGGGCCTTGGTCAAGGGTTAATATTGAAAATGCTGGACCAGACATTAATTTTTAATTTACTTAGGAGAAAATAAAATAGGGCAAAAGAAAACAAAATTAGGGAATAAAGAGAGAATTTTGTCATGACCAAATGACATAGAACGATGATGATTTCTTTAGGCCTTTCTAAGTTGATATAATCATCATATTGAAGATAGTGTCTCGATGTGAGATGAGGTCTTTTCACTGCTAGCAAAGGAAAACAAATTTGAACAGCTTTTTCTTTGACATTTTCTTTGTGTTCACGTTGAAGAGCACCGAAATCAGTGATGGGGCATGGTTTGGAGAAAAATTTTACCGTAATTGGTTTTGCTTTAGTTTTAAAATTTATTAAAATTAATTGTTGATTAATTATTATAGAGTTATCTCATTAAAAAATATATAATACAATTATAAAATTTTAAAAACCAAAAATATATTATTAAATTTTTAAAACTTTTAAAAAGACGAGAGCCCTACTAACCCTCGTTTACCTATTCCAAATATTTCTAAATTCGTGCATGCCACATGTTTTTCAAGAAAAGGGTTTGTTTCATTCTTCTGCTGCCACATTCAGCTTGATTATATTGAAGTAGGCTTGCCTACTTCTTTGGATAAATACAAATCTCATTTATTAAAAAAAAAAAAGAGAGTATAAACCATCAATTAGAAGCATGTGATGAACCAAAGTTTGCCTTCACTTTCTGTTTTTTTCCCCCTTCAATATGTGCTATAAAATTATGATGAGTTTAGGTTGCACATGCCTTGATTCCAAAACCAGAGCTTCAATTTCACAAAATTCCAAGATTGCTTTTAAAGAAATACTATGAATTGACATTTCACAATTAAAACAAAAAAAATGACAAATAGTTAACCTCACACACTACTATCCGTAACAAGTTCAAGAAATTAACGAATATAACACATCTCTCGAGCTGCTAATAATTTGAACAAACACAAAATATGTTTTGGTAATTAGTTAAATTATTGTTTGATTACAGTTGATTTCTTGTTTTCCTTGTTCTTAAGTTCGATGCCTTCTAAGAGCAATCACTGGGGTTTTTTTGAGTTTTTGGTTTATAATGCTGCAATGAGTTTATAGTCTGATAATTTTGATAGTAAACTTGAATCGATATTTGAGTAATTTGTTATTCAATCATTTGTAAATTCACTTTTTTTTAAAAAAAAAAAACTTATTGTTAGCTTAAATGAATATTTTTGTTTTATATTAACATGCTTTTATTATGTACTGTTATCTTCATCATGAAGTGATTTTTTTTAAGAAAAAACGTCATTAGGCATTAATATCCTTTGGAAATGCCTTTGGACTTTTCATTTTTGGCTAGAAAAATACCTAGGGCTTAAAATATACTAAAACTTTATCATATTTAACAACACATGCACTTATATACAGGGTTTTGTCAATGAATGCTTTTATCATTCAATAAAATAGAGGGTGTGATTTGGTGTCCAACTGGATTGCAGCCTTTTTCTTCAAACGTGTGATAACAATTATTCAGCCTTTCTTTAATCAGCTTTTAATCAACATCAATGGCGCTGGCTCCTATCTGCTCATCACGCATCAACGCACGACTTCATTGACATGTACAAGATAATAAACAGCTGTATATTTGATGCTGCAACTTTTTATAATTTCAGAAACAATTCCAATTCATCAATAACTAAAGTTAAATTTAGTTATATTAATTTTGGGTATTGCTATGTTTATAAGTAAGTAATTTATGATCATCAAGAGAGAAATTTTGCTCAAAATTATAGGAGATCAAGGCCCCAAAGGAATGCATCATCTTTGGATCCAATAAACCATTGTTTTTTTAAAATAAACAAACCTTTGCTTCTGGAGTAGTTTATACATAGATATATTGAATAATAGTAACCCATTTCTTTGCCAATTTTTTCTTTTTGGTATACATTGAATACTATTGTCTTCCATGTTTCAATAATTGACATGTCTCTATCCGGGTGGAGTCATGATGAACAAAATGACAAAGCAGTGACCAACTTTTGCAGTAATCATTCACCCATAGGCCCATTATTTTAAAGGACAACAAACATGTTATTGCTAGAGGTTAGTGTTGGCTTGTACCCAGTGTATTTTATTATAAATTTTCATGAAAATCAAGGATAAGTTTAAGCTTTAAAAGATCATTTAGGAGGCTTGTGATTGGATCAAGACTTTGATGTATTCTCAAATTAATTACATTGTTTTGGTCCTCAGAATGGTAGTGATGATGCCAATCGATGTGGAATAACTTGGTACTATGATGATATTCAGCGGGTGTTGGGGAAGAAAAAGCGTGGGTTATTGCATATTTTATTGATGGGAAAATGATCATGATGCCGGTAGTTTAAATATGCTTTTCATATTTTGTCTTTGTTAAGTATTGAGGCTTTGCTTTTAATCACAAGTCAACTAGGTGAGCTTCCAGGACCTTGGCCTTCTGTATCTTTTACAAGAGAAAAAATAGAGGGAAAGGGATTCAATCTTTCACTGTTGGGACGTCAAATGTAGAATCAAAGACAGTAAAAAAATTGATGGAAAGATAAGATGAAGAAGACTGCACCAAACTCTTCACTAACTCGACATATTCATTTCAAAACGACACAGATTGAGCAATGGAAAATTATAGTGGATGGCAAACTCGGAAAGCCTCAGCATTTTCTTCTGGTGGTGGAATGTGGGAAAGTGATGCCTATGATTGAACCCACAAAACCCACCTTCTCTTTATTCACAAAAGTAGCATTAAATTTAGAAAGCAAAGGGTTTCAACAGAAACAAACACAATATACCCATTCCATTGGTCTTGGCTATAATTGTCTTATAGTTCCAGTGGCAGTATGTACATCAATGAACATTTAATCCCTCATTCATCATTGTTTTGCTTTTCTCATTTACACGGTGGATCCATAACAATCTTGCGCCAAGCTTTTAAATAATGACAATGGTTTGTGTATAATTTTCATTACATAATGTAATGCAAAGGTACCTTTTTATTTTATTCTTTTATATAATATTTGAAAAAGTTTATAAATTATTTAAAAAATTTTAAGTAAATCATTTTCTTCTATTATGTTTAATTAAGTTCTTATATTTTTATTTTAAATTAAATAAGCTCTTACAATTAATGATAACTAAATTATTATCATTAGTCAAAATACCACTCGTCATTTTATATTTATGTAACTACTGACATGATGAAAATATCATATGACTATATCATTATGCCATGTCAGCATTTCATATTCATTATAACATGTCAATGTCAAGTGACATAAAATGATAAGTGATATTTTAACTAACAACACATACTCAACTATTAATTATAAAAATTTGTTTAACTCAAAATAAAAATATAAGAATTTAATTACACGTAATAAAAAAATAAAAATTTATTTAAATTTTAAAATAATTTAAAAACTTTTTTAAATATTATTATTTTTATTTTTTAAGAAAGAGAAATCTTGAGTGAATTCATGCTTTTATGTGAGGAAGTAGGGTAAAAAGATAGAATAGAAATATTTGATTACTATAATAAATAGACAAATATTATTCACTTCTTTATTTTCAATCTTACAATATATATCTATTTATTTTATTTGACAATAACATGCAAACTTTAATTTTGTTTTAAGTTGGGTAACCTTATCATCAACAACTTGTTTGACTTTTATGGAGAGACATGCAAAATGGGAGACTCACACCAAATTTGAGAAACTGGTTTTCAATGTCCTGCTTCTTCCTATCTTTAGATGAAGATTCTCTTCCATTTTTGTACGTTCCTTTCCTCAGGATATACTCTTTCTCATCACAAATTAGCTGTAAAAGCTATTTTCCATATACTTTATACCATTGCCTAGCTGGTATACTACAAAACAGGGCGTTTCGACACCAAAATTGGCGAGTAAACATTAAATTTAACTAAATGTTAATCCTCACAGTAATTGGCAAATTTATAACCAATAAGCATACAGCAAGTCAACGAGCAACAGGAATTTATGTAATATATCCTACCATAATAGAGTTGTATTGCATGATAACGTGCCATCACTTCTGAAAAAGAAAAAAAAAAAAGTAAAGAAATAGTCGGACCATGAGGCTTATATATAGCATTGTCGTCGAACAAGTACAGCCAAGCTAGCTCTCAATTATCTTAAAGCCAGTCGTTTCTAGTTAGGCTCAGTCCTTCGATACTCTCCGGTGACCATGCCGAAAATCGCTTTAGGAACAAGCCGGGAGGCTGCGCAGACTGACTGCATCAAGGCCCTTGTAGTCGAGTTTGTCACCACTTTCCTGTTCGTTTTTGTAGGAGTTGGAACTTCCATGGCTGCTGGTGATCAATTAATTAATTAACATAGTTTGCAACATTATCGTTAATCAACTTGGTTTGTGCCAAATGATTTGTGTCCATTTTATTTTATTTTTTAACGTGCTGTGATGATCGCAGGTGAGCTGGAGGCAAATACACTGGTGAGCTTGTTTGCGGTGGCGGTGGCTCATGCCCTTGTGGTAGGCGTTATGATCTCTGCTGGACACATATCCGGTGGCCATCTTAACCCAGCAGTCACGCTTGGCTTGCTTTTCGGAGGTCACATCACCGTGGTCCGATCCATCCTCTACTGGATCGATCAATTGTTAGCCTCTTCGGCTGCTTGTATTCTTCTCAAGTATCTCACTGGAGGATTAGTAAGTTTAAAGAGCTTCGGGATTCTGATGGATTTGTGTTACAGATTTGGGTTAACAAATTGTGAACAAAACTTGCCTTACCAACAAAATCTGCATATTGGAATTGTTTCTTTTTTATAACTCTTTCTTTTATTGTGCAGAATACTCCAATTCATTCACTGGCAAGTGGAGTGGGCTTCCTCCAGGGTGTTATATGGGAGATTGTTCTGACATTCTCCTTGTTATTCACGGTCTATGCCACTATTGTCGACCCAAAGAAAGGTTCTATAGATGGGCTAGGCCCAATGCTTACTGGGTTTGTTGTTGGTGCAAACATCTTAGCTGGTGGAGCTTTCTCGGGGGCTTCAATGAACCCGGCTCGGTCCTTCGGACCTGCTTTGGTGAGCTGGGACTGGACAGATCACTGGGTTTACTGGGTTGGACCCCTGATCGGCGGTGGCCTTGCTGGTTTCATCTATGAGTACTTCTTCATCGTTAGAACTCATGCTCCCGTTCCACACGAGGATGAAGCTTTTTAATCCCCTACATTAAAGTTTCTTTTCTGTCTCAATGTATCAAGTTCCCGGCATGTTTCCTTTCTCTCATGATAGCTCTATGTATTTTGGGTCTTTGTTTAGTTTACCTTTTGTGAATTTATTATAACTAATCAAGAATTTTGTTCTATTTCAAGGGCAAATGCGACATGCTGCCTAACTGAAAAGCATTAGCACCCAATCCAAAAATATGATAAAACTTTGCATTATGTCGTGAACTCAGACCTTGCCTCACAAATTCCTTGGTGAATAGAGATCCTCCGTCAAATCTGAACAATTCAAATAGGGCAATGTGTTGTGTATTATGATTTTAACCAGCCAAGGTCCTTGACCATTTAGACAAAAGAGAATTGAATACTATTGAACCAATAGTCTTACCGTGACTCTGCCAATGCTTGACAGCACTTACTATTTACCATTTCAGTTTCGATATTTAAGAACCTACCTTTTTTTCCCAAGGTTGCGATCGTAATCCCTCGTTACTCTTATTTAAATGATACTCTGCCAAGTAGCTGAGACGATGGTGATGGAGGCATCAAAGAGGTGAATAGGTCCAATTAATAGCCATTACAATTTTTAGGTGCAAAGTCGTTCCGCCGGATTAATATCCTTTCAGTATGGAGTCTGGACATGGATGTTTCATCTATTTGGGGATGCATATATATTTATTTCTCATTAACAATCGTACTGCAGCAAGTAGTCTCTTCGAGAATGGATCTGCCAAATGTTACATCGTCTTTTATTTTCAGTAGTTAGGTCCATGTGGGATAATTCAAGGCACGTATGGAAGCTACCTAATCTCTTGACTGAATGCCGTCCGAAAACGAAATTCTAAGTACATACTCAAACCCGACCCCATCCTCCAAAAACGAGAGAAAAACCCATTTTCTTGGCTAATAAGATCATCTGAGCCTTTGACTAATTCTCGGCCATGAGTTGGTCTTTCTCATGTCACATCGAAATCAAGAAATTATTGCAGTGAATTATCGAGATGGCCGCTGAATGCATGTGAGAAGCATTGTCTGGAATATTGATTTCAACGCTAAGCTTAGGTGAATCTAAGCAGTACAATGAATGACGATCGTTACGTCAATATCTAATTTTGCCTCAACAGTTGGGGTGAATTGTGGGCCTGCTTGCAATTTATGGTCTGAAAGCTCGTTAGTTCAGATAAAGTGATCATCTTGATATTTTTATAGGCTTGCGGAAGGAGAAATAAGGCCGTGCATAATACTAATTTTATGTATATGAAATTCAAGTAAAAGCCGTGGCATTTCCTTGAAATAACGAGATTTTATTTTTGGCTAGCCTTTGTTTGTACAAGAACTACCAACCGAACTAATAATGTAAAAGACAAAAATGAACTAGCAAGGGAAACATTGTCTTAAATTACTGGAAATGATTACCTTGAAGCTTCTTCTCGACCCAAGATGGAGACAACACAGGGCTCATCTCATACTCCATCGTCTTGGTAGACTTTGAATCGTTTCGGTCCGCAAAATCGAAGCAGAGTTTCTCTTCGGGCATGACTTTGACCCTCCATACCTTGAAAGTTTGATCCAAACTAGCACTGTATACCAAAAATCCCATGACAATTTTTTCCATCTCTAAAGAAGCAGCCAAGCATCTGACAGGCCCTCTATGTCCGTCCAACACTGCCAAGCATTCATGGAAACAACTTCCTTCCTCCCTCCGCCACACCCTAATCGTTGTGTCCTCTGAGCCACTAAATATTAACTTCTCTATAGCCGCCAAGCACAAAACTGCAAAACGATGACCCTGTAAAAAACCACCATGGTTGAACCTCCCGGACATTTTTTCTTTCTCCCAAAAATTGATGGTGCCATCAGATGAACCCGAATAGAGAAAACAGTTGTTGAATGTTGTGCTTAAGGCTAAGGCGTTAACAGGTGATTGTTGGAATTTCAGCGTCATGGTTAAAGTGTGAGAGATTTCTCTATATACTCTTCTCCATATCTTCACCGATCCATCAGAGGAGCAAGTGAAAACACACCCATCATCTTGGTTGACCACTATTGCATTGACGTTGCTTTCATGAGCCACAAATGAGTCTACACATTTTTTATCTAAAAGCCGCCAAGCCTTAACTGTTCTGTCATAAGAGCCAGTGTACAAAAGCCCTTCAGCATGGTAATAGGCCATGCAAGAAACGCAGTCTTTATGTTGTTGGCTGCTTGTCTTAGGAAACAGAAGAAATGAGCTTCTCTTAGGGAGTGTTGAGATCTTTTTGAATTTAAAATTATCTGTAACTGTGTAGTTCCAAATTCTGATCTTGCAGTCTCTATGTGTAGAGAAAAGCATGTTACCATAAGCGAAAATGGCCCTGACTTCACCAGAACTTGCCTTGATATATCCCCGTTCGGTGCAGTCAGGCTGCCTCCATGCCCGGATACGATTGCTATCTGAGCCAGTGAAAACTAACCCTTTTGACAGTCCAATCGAGTAGATATTGCCTTCCTGGCGATGAAGAGAAGCGATGCAGTGGTAGAGGAGTGCAGGGGATGGGGTTTGAAGAGGAGAGAGTGTCCATGGTGATTCAGGACTACCGGGTGGCAACACTGAGTGCATGGTGGCACTTGCACGGGGGCTAGAAGTTCTTCCAGGGCTAAATTGGAGATCTTGTTCATACATATCTAGGTGAGATCTAATAGAAAGGCGAGGGGGTGACTGGGTTGAACCGTTTTCATCATCCATGAAGCCGTGAAGAGTATTTCTGCCATAGAATTCCATGGCAAAAGAACGGGAGGACCGGGGAGGACGGGATATTGGGGGGGATTAGAGTGAAAACTAGTAAGAGCGTTGGCTAGAAATATAAAGAGTGAGATTGGTGTTGTTAGTTATGAACTTAATTTGGTGAGTTGGCGTTACTGCTATGGCCTTAATGGCACCATTAAATGAGACTATGGAATGGAAGCCATGATATATAGACATAAATACGGTTATATTTAATGAGAGGTCATGGTTCGCGACCAGCTTGCTTGGATACAAATAGGATCATTTCTTTCCCAAAAAGCATGATTACTTGGTAGGTAATCGCCTTGCATTTCCAAAAAGCACACCAATTTTTTTTTTTGAAAGGCTGAGATTTTATTACTATAAAATTCTCCAAATGGAGACTTACAGGGAGCAAAGTCACAAGTGATTTGCTTGAAAACAAAATGAATTCCCAGTAGGGAGGGTTGGCAGAACATAGAAAAGACCTTGATAAGCCTCCAGACATCAATCATACTAGAAAAAGATAACAAAGAAATCAAAGCCAATATAAGCTTGTCCCTACTAATCTGGGACACTAAGACACTAAAAATGGATCACCAGAATTAATGTAGGTAAAATCAGAATAAAGATGGCAGGTTTAGGGAAGGTTAGTATTATGATTAACAAAGTATACATTGTGGTTGAATTCTCTCACCACCCCAGCTTTTGCAAGTTTGTCAGCTACCATGTTGGCTTCGCGCCTGATGTGGCAAAAAGAGATGTTTGTGATGTTGCGTAAGTGGGCTTCGATTGCATTTGACACGAATTTCAAGCGCCATGGAGCTTTGCTGTGATCACTCACCCAGCTTATGGCATTGGTGGAATCGCTTTCCACTTGCAACTGATGAGTACACCAACTTATAGTGTTCTTTTGCGAAAACAAGCTTTCTGCTGCATTTTATTTGAAATCATCTCCTATTTAAAACTTTGAAAATTAAATTGATTACATATATATATATATATATAGAAAGTAGAGACTTTGCAAATAGAAAGGAGCCATAAAAATTTTACAAATGAATTAAAATTTTTCCTAATATCCTTCCTTTGTTTCTCTTTTTGCAGATAATACTAATGTAAAGCGCAAAAAGGTATGCCTGGGTGGTCTAACAAACCTTGCCCCAAATATAGAAATTCCAGTCCATGGTTTAGCCAAGTAACCTGTATCATCCTCACTCTGTAACAGAACGGGTGGTTCTGATCATTCATCGTCGCATAAATTGTAGGTAACCATCCTACTTGCTGATATTAACTATTATTAATACCTAGCCTGGCCAAAACAGGAAGTAAGAAGAGACTGATAATAACAATAGTTTTCCATAAGCACCTGTTTTTTGTCAATCTGGAATATTGGATAAGTCCTTCTTAGTGCAATTAATTACCACAAAAGGGAAATGACATGCAATTACCATATCCTCCGGGGAAGTGCTGTCAGAGTGAATGAGTACTCACCAACCAAGTAATCACTTACATATAAAGTTATAAATGCAAACCTGTTACTGTCAAAAGCTCCCCAGCGCGGTTGTTATTTTGGTTGGCACAGAGCCAGGAGTTAGGTCTATTTGTGCTGAAGATAAATTTCTTTATTTATTACAAAGAATAAATCTCCAGTTTTTGTACGCACCAATTTGTTCTGTTTTCTTCTTTTACACGGCTGAACTGAGGGATCTTTTTTGCCATTAAACAAGCACAAGAATTGGTCGAAACTAGCCTCACATGTGCAGTCCTCTCTTTGTATATTGTCGAATTGGGTTCAATAGGCCAACCAGGCCAACTCAAAATTTAGCATCGAAGTGCATTAACCAACGTTTTAACCATTGCTCTTCACAACTTTTCATCACCATGAAGAAGCCATGGATTCTAATTGGATGCTTGTTGGGATCCGGGGAAGCTGACGATCTCGCTTTTCATGCTACTACCAGGCTGTAGAGGGTCGAATGATATTTACGTAGACAAGATATTTTGCCGAAGTTAAGCATTTTGCAAGGAATTTAATTGGATGTAACGGCCTTACTAAGTATGGTATGGTACTCTGATGGGAAGATTAGTTTCCCAATGTAATGACATTGCCAGCCCAAGAGGGAATGAGCTGGAGGGAAAGTCGAGAAAACAGGTCGGAAAGACACACCCCCCTCAAGTTAAAGAATAAATTTGAAACATTAAAAAATTATATTAAAAAATAATAAATTTATTCAATTTTATATTTTCATACATAAAAGTGATTATGTAAATTAATATTACATTCTTAATAAAACATCTTTAAACTAAACAAAGAAATGTAATCTTTTCAATAATCACATGTCTTGCAATCATTAGGAGTATGTGGAAACTTGAGTCACTTTACAAGAATTTTAATTGAATGCATTGTGCTTGCAGCATTTGGTTTGTCAAAATGACATGGGAAAGTCTTCCCATTGTAAACTGATTACAAATAGTAGAAGGAATATCATTCTCTCCTTTCATGGATGCAAAGTTACTTTCTCCCTGCAAAGGGAAAGTTACAACTTTAATTTATTCCCAAATTATCCTACCCATTTCACGACCCTCTCTTCTTTTTCTTTCTTCTTTCTTCTTCTTCCTTTGGCCGGCTATGCTCTCATCTTTTCCCTATTCTTCCTCCCCTAGTTGCTTGTAAGAACCCTAGCTGCTCACCACCACATTTCGATCAAAGGTAGAGACCAAGATCTGAATATGATTTGTTGACTGCTTTTGAGGGTTCTGTCCATATTTGCCTTGGTTGCCTGGATTTTTAAAGCTTGGACTTTAGGAGTCTTGGAGTGAAGAGAGGAAATCTTCACTCCTCACGGGGAGAGAAGGACTAAGGAAGATGGAGGAAGAAGTGGTAAGGTGGAGTGAAGATAAAACAAAATTATCAAAAGAATGGAAGTTGACCTTTGAAAAAAAAAAATAGATTAAAAGTAAGGATAGATTTAGGTTCAATTTAAATATAAAAATGGTGCCTTTGTTTAATTTAGTCCATTTTTATTTTTTAGATTTTTTATTTAATTATTTTAAATAGAAATTTAATTTTACTATTTTTGTATATTGATAAATAATATTACTATTAATATTATTAAAAACATTTGCTATTTATTTTTAAAAAAATAAAAAGAGAAATCATGAGTCAAAGAAGCTCAAGGAAAAAAATTATAAAGCTCTTTGAATAATGTTTTTTATTATTCATGTGATAATTCTAGGTATTATTATAAAATTATTATTTTTAATATTTATAGGTATTATTATCAAAATAAATATTTAGTAATTTTACATTTAAAATAAATAATTAGTATTCAAATATTATATTATTTTTGTTATGTTATTATTTATAATTTTATGAGATAAAGCTTGAAAAGTTAAATATTTACATTAAAAAAATTCAAGTTTATTTAATTTTATATTTTTTCAAATATAAAGATAATTTTATAAATTTATACTACATTTTCAATAAAATACTTTCAAACCAAACATTATAATAATCTCATTCTTTACAATTATTGTTTCTATACTAGATGCTGTAAAATTATCTTTTCAGTAATTAAATTCTCAGTAATTACATACCTAGTAATTACATTTCTAATAAAATACCAAATATTACGATAGTTCTCATATATACCAAATGTTGTAAATGTTATTTTTTTAATAATTATATTCTTAATAATCACATTTTTAATAAAATATAAAACATCATTTTAAAAATCTCTATCTAAAACCAGACTCAAGTCAAGCCAAACAAATTAAATCCTTTGATCAATAAATAAACCTATCTTAATGGTATAATAAATATATTTATTTATTTCCATTCAAATTAAAAATAGAGTTGAAAATCCCTTCTCTTTCGAATAAAAAATATTAATAGTATTCTACTACTCAAATAATTCTTATCGTCAAGTTGAGAAAGTACACGAATGAGGTAGAGATGACGACTCACCTGAGCTCATAACATTGCCTTCACACGGCTACCCACAGATTAACTTTCCAAGAAATTAGTGAGCATACTAAATTTGACTAGTTGCTCCTATATCTTTTACTCAACAGAGAGCAACATATTCTTTCTAGTCTTGGCATCAGAGATGATCGGTTCAGTGCATACATAAACATCTATGTTTTGCCTCTTCTTAATTCCAAGAGAAAATTATATGCTCCATCAACTTCTCGAGAAGACAGCTACTCTTGTTTGGCCTAGAAAACTTGTTTATCCTTTTACAAACAGCAACTTCTAGAGATAAATAAGTGAGGATGGATCTAGAAATTTTTCTGAATAGTATGTTTAAGATAAAACTCAAAAAAAAAAATTTTAGATTCAGGATTTGTTAGAAAAAATACTTAAATTAAATTTAATATAACTTTACTTAAAAGAATATTGTTGAGTACTATCATTAATAAAATTTTATTGTTATTATTTGAGATTTGAGTCTTGTAAGACAATTTCTTTTCTTTTAAAATATCTTCTCATGGCTAATTTATCTAAAATTGTAAAATTTGTTAAAAATTACTTTTCATTACTATTAATTAGAATATTATAATTAAATAAAATATGATCTTACATGGTAAATTATCATGTTCAATAACTAATAATATGACAATTTTCAATTCATTGATCAAAACTAAATATAAGCATTTACAAATTACATAAAATTAAATATAAAAATCAAATAATTAAATAATATATTTATAAAACAAAAAAAACTCATAATTCTAATATATTATTTGATATGCAATACTATTTTCTATTAACTATATTAAAATTATGAACTCAAATTATCAAATTAATAAAAAAATTTAGACATGAAGTATTTAAAAATTTTATTTGGGTTGAAAATTACTTAAAATTGAAACTTAAATGAAGTGTTTTGAGAGTAAAAATTATAAAAGACTGAAAAAGGAAAGGATTTGAATTTTTAAACAGAAAGAATAGTTAAGGTTTTGATTTTTTAATTAAATTTTAAATAATAATAAAAAATTTATTATTTTTATAATATTTAAATATTAATACATAAATTACTTTTTAATAAATTATTTTTATTTAGGGTCTTTGAATTTATTTATTAAATTATAAAAAAATAATAAATTTATTAATATATTAACTACTTTGCATACTAGATAAATAGAATAAAAATTAAAATATTTTAAAAAGTGATTGATGTCGTATGTCCGCCCATGCAAGTAAGTAGTAATATTTCTCATACTAACATGAAATGCCAGCATGCCACAGGATGCCGCCATCAGCAGTCTTTTCTGAGAAAAGAAGGAAGAGAAAACTTTCTGGAGATGTGGAGCCCCTTTTCTCTTCGGTGTCGGACCCATGCAAGTGGGAAAACGAGACTGAAGATATAAAAGAAGAAAAGGAAGGAAGAAAGAAAGAAAACCTTCCTACCATGGTGCGTGTGCAATCACAGGGAAAGTTCGAGGTGGCAACACTTGTGGAAAAACGATGCCTCCCGCTCTCATTATTTCTTCTCCCCCTACAACCCCACGCTCGGCAACTCCATTTTCCAGGGCAACAAACTCGCTCAAGCTTTAGGCCTCAGATATGGATCGACGCCTTCGAGAAAGTGTTGTAAGAGGGGACGTACCAAGCTTTCTCAAACTCATGCAAGAAGATGAAGATATCATTAAACAGACGGCACCAGGATCCCTCAAGACAGTCTTACACTTGGCTGCACGTTTCGGGCATTTGGAGTTGGCGTCAGAGATCACAAAGTTGAGGCCGGAGATGGTGGGGGCTGAGGATGAGAAATTGGAGACCCCATTGCATGAGGCTTGCAGCGAAGGGAGAGTGGAGATTGTGAGGCTCTTGGTGGGAACCGATCCTTGGGTTGTGTACAAGGTGAACCAGGAAGAAGAGAGTGCGCTCTTCGTGGCATGCGAGAGAGGGCAGGTTGATGTTGTTAAACTTCTGCTGAATTATCCCTGCAGGATGCTGATGTTGGAGGTGGATGCGCCGACTACTTCCCTTCATGTTGCAGCTTCAGCTGGCCACACAGGTAATTATTAGTTTTTGCTCTATTTTCAGGCTAAGCAATGATAGATTTCTGCATGAAATTAACTAATTACCACCTTGGTTAAAAGTACCAGAATGTCTTTATTGATAAAAAAGGAGAAAATCCTTTCTAAGGAGTTGCTTTTAATTATTTTGACTCATCTCACATTAAGAGGCTGATTTTCTTGAAAAATTCATGTGTTAATTAGTAGCAATCTTAACACTATACTTATATTATCGTTTTGGATAATCAAATTTTTTCCGTTATCCAAAGCAGGGGAATATATATACACTTCCCTTAGTTTCTAGTTTCTTCATAGATTCTTTAGTATACCAACTTCGTTTTCAAGTTAATAAGTAGTTCACTTTCTTGTCAGCTTGCAAACCAAAAGTAAATACCCATGAAAAAGAAACACAAAAGAAAAAAAATTCCATTAAATCAATTGGGAGGACCACAAGTATGAGAATAAAAAAAAAGGACCTCAAGTATGAACACAAGCAAGAGGGCCATATTCATTAATTATTCCTATAAAATGAATTAGTTGGAGGCCAGCAGGAAAAGTTGATTTTCTGAGTGAAATTAACAACCAGTGGCTGGTGTGTGTATTTGTTTGATGTGAGAGTGCAAGTGTGGCCAACGTTTCGACTTTTCACGCATCACAGTGATTGGAGACTATGAGACAAAATCTAATTGATTATTTGTTATTGTCAATAGTGATCTTCGCATGTAATCATCATCTATCATATTGAAAAAGTCATACTATTAAAAGCTTAAATTAAAAAGGGGTTCCTGTTTTTGTCCCTCTATCACCGGTTGTCCTGACCAAATTCCACTATGGGAAAATCGTAGATGTGGCGAAGGAGATTCTAAAGGCACGTCAGGAATTTTCCTGGAAAAAAGACAAGCATGGCTGCACGCCTTTACACCTCTCTTGCAGCAAAGGGCATTTGGAGATAACCCGGGAGCTTCTAAGGTTGGACGCGGACCTCTCTTCCTTACAAGACAATGACGGACGTACCCCGCTTCACTGGGCTGCCATTAAAGGCCGAGTGAATATCATTGATGAGATTCTATCCATAAGTATTGAGTCTGCTGAGATGATAACCAGACATGGAGAGACCGTTCTTCACCTAGCAGTGAAGCATAACCAATATGAAGCTGTTCGGTACCTTGTCGAGAATCTTAACATAACAAAACTGGTTAATCTGCCTGATAATGATGGCAACACTGTCTTGCATATAGCAACAGCTGGAAAACTGACTACGGTAAGACCTTCCACATCATAATTAATTAGCTTCCCATTTATTACAAAGAATTAATGTTGAGGGCACCTTTGCTTTGAAATCAGTTGGTAATCTATCTTCTGAAACTTGGTCTGGATGTAAATGCAATCAACCGAAAAGGATTCACTGCTCTGGACGTTGTTGAATCAGATGCAAGCAATTCTGGTGCTCTTGCAATAGTACCAGCATTACAGGAAGCAGGGGCTAAACGATGTGACCAATTGCCTCCAGGTTCACCAGAAACTCAAAACATACAGGAAAGCAGCCCAAGAAATGTCCCGTTTGTGAGGCCAAAAGAGGCACCGGAGACTCCTACACAACACCAACGCCGCCGCCGCCGCCATCGCAGAGACAAGCAGCTGGAGCTCCAAAATGAAGGTTTGCGCAATGCGCGTAATACTATCACTGTTGTGGCAGTTTTAATAGCTACTGTCACATTTGCTGCAGGGATAAACCCTCCAGGGGGGTTTAACCAAACCACTGGAAAAAGCATTATGGGAAGGCAACCTTCGTTTAAGGTCTTCATGGTTTGCAACATCGTGGCATTATTCTTGTCTCTAGGCATAGTCATTTTCCTAGTTAGCATTATTCCATTTCGACGAAAATCCATGATGAAATTACTGGCTGTGACACATAAGGTCATGTGGGTGTCCACGTCATTCATGGCAGCAGCTTATATTGCTGCCACGTGGACCATAATGCCACGTACGCAGGGTTCTATCTGGGTGTTGGTGGCAGTGGTTTCTATAGGGGGAGGGTGCACTATTGCTATATTTATGGGCTTGGCGGTGCTGCTGGCCTGGCATTTGCTTAGAAAATGGGAATGGAGAAAAAGAAGGGCAAAGAACGGAAGCCCCAGTAGCAGCATTAGTCGTGTTGAAGAGATGCAGATAATGAAGAAAGGTAGCCACGAGTCTACTAGCAATTCAGATATTGATAGCTCTGATCAAGGGTTCCACCCTTACTAGTGTACATTAGCTAATTTTTGCTTGACTGGATATGGAACCAGTAATTTAGTTGTTGATAACTCTGATGTAGGGGATATCACCCGTATAATTAGGCTACTTTAGTTCAATAATTGTGTATATAATTATAAACCCTATTCGTTAATTATTACCAGGCATCAAGATTTTTAGTTTCAGTTTAGATATTACTGAGACATGCATGTTCCCAAGATGACTTATATAATATTGACTACAATCAGGTTCTCTAATTGTTTTTATCGTCAACTTGAGCTGCAAATATCATTTAGGGGGTGAAAATATATAGAAACAAGAACATATTGTTCTAAGAGCATACTCTATATAGACAAGTGGTGGATTTGTTCACAGATGATGACAATAGTGGAGTTTTATACTCTATATAGACAAGTGGTGGATTCGTTCACAGATGATGACAATAGTGGAGTTTTATGGATTAGCTATGACTTTTCACAAGTTGAAAGTAATTTTTTATTAACATAAGGGCACAAACAATTGAGAAAAAACTATATTTTATATCCACAGAGGATTACAAGAAATCTTACGGGACCTGCATGGGGAAGGATCCTCATTGCTTGATTGCTTCCCATGTTCACATTCACTTTCTGGAACCCTTAATCCATTGGAACAACAGGGAAGTGAAGACACCTGCAACAAGCAACAAATAATAATCTAGGATTGATTTTTATATCATGTAAAATTTGACATTTCTTGTTCTTGGACATCTTAATACTTTTCAAAGTTAATTTTATAAATAGTCTGATGAAACTTTATCATATCAAGAATACGCAAAGGACAATACATATAGACTACTGTCCTGGAAAATTTTTCTAAATTTCTTGGAATTGATGTAAATTAACAAGAAGTTTACAAACCTTTGTAAAGCAACAAATGTCTCATATAATTAATCTTTGCCTGCTATTCTCTGATCCCTGTCCGGAAAACCAATGAACTGTTTTGCGCACTAATTGTAACCAAAGCCCCCGTATCTTCTCCTCTTTTCCACTAATGTTAACCAGTGAAATTTGGTTTTTCAGACTGAATTGCCTGAACCTTGGGAAGACTGTAATCTCAGACATTGATCTCTTTTCCATATGATTCATCTCTGATGAACTTGACTCGTTATATGAAGCGGAAGGAAAGGTTGAACTTGGATCATTCTTATCGGTTATGCTGAACTCGGACTCAAACATTCTCTTCCTCTCTAAATCCTCAACCTTTTCAATCTGTTTACTCGTTGATAAGCCAGTAGGAAACCTTCTACTATTTGATTCCAACGAAGAGAATCTTTTGCTTGATATGACACTGAGCATCTCGGATTTCAAGGACAACAAGTCTGATGGGCTGACATCACTCCATCGATTCTTTATTACAAGATCAGAAAAAATTATCTTATGCTTGAACTTATGCAAGAGTTTTGGATTATCTCCACTACTACCTTCACCTTCTTGAATCGGTAGTTCTTGTTTCTTACCCCTGTCAATGCTGCGGAGGTTGCTTCCTATGGTAAACCTTGATGATGACCCTTGAACTTGATCGTCCTGCTCCCTTTCCACAAAGAGCTCAACGTTTGGATCATCAGTTAGATTTGAAGGGTTCTGAGATAATCTCAAGCTGTTTGAATGAGTGACATTCTTTAGATCTCTAGAATCAAACTTACACCTGCAAAGAGGGCAGGTTGAGTGTCTTTCGAGCCACTGGTCTATGCAGTTCATATGAAATGCATGCTTGCACTTTGGCAAAAGTCGAAGAATATCTGAATCCTCAAATTTCGATATGCAAACTACACACTCTAGGCCCTCTTTTGACCCCTTAATTACAGAGAACTGGAAAGAGGGAATTGATTCAATTATTCTTCTATCAATTCCAGAAAATATGGAACTTGACTGAGAAAGGCGATGAAAGTTTTGAGGATGTGTAGTATGGTCAAAATTATCGACCAGGTTTGCATGACAGAATTTGAGGAACACAAGGAAAGCAAATGTTAAACAGAACATTGCTAAGGAGATTCCAACGACTAAAGAGAGGCTTATGCGGAAAGGATGAAGGAAACCCGAGGAAGGCTCTGCTGCTTCTTGGGCTCTGACATGGAAGAATAGGCAAGAAACTAGGATGAGCACAATTGGTTGATTCATGGGGCGATAAGCAAAATTGCTGCCGCCAAAATTCGCCTATTGAACTCTTTTCTGTTTAGGCTATTCTTCTTTTGTGGCCAATGGGGAGCTCTTTTGCTTTCGTTGGTTTGTCCCGCCTATAACCGTTCTGCTATCGCCCTTTTCACGTACCTAATGGCGCAGTTTATCAAAATAGGCCTCTTTCCATAACAGGAAGGTTGACCCCAGAATACTATACTTGGAAGCCAGATTTTGTCACGCCTATGCTTATCTCAACATCCAGATTGCATTTTCTGATTTGATGATCCATATTCTATTGAAACAAAATCCTCTTATCCAGATGCTTAGCTGTGCAAACAATATTTTATACTGGTTTCTTTCTGTAAATTTAAGCCTTGTTACCTGGAAAAAGCCTTCCTGCATAATTTATTGGTTGCTGGCAAAGATGGAAATTCCAGGCATGTTGACCATATATACTTGTGAATTGTTGTACAATATCTCTTTCCAGGAAATTTCCTCCTGCTGAATACCAATTTCTCAAAAATGTCTATAATTGGTCCTTCCATTGCTGGTTCAACGTCATATTGCGGCGGTAACTTATCACAGGTTTTGTCTTAGGATGCTGGTTGGTCGTGTTGTAATTCCCCACAGGTTTGCTTGTCTCACGAGTGGAGTCAGTAAGGTTTGGAATCAGCCTAAGGCTCTGCTTCCATTGCTCACTGATTCCTGCTCTGTGCTGCTTGTTTGGGTTGACTGTTTTGGGGCTGTCTGTAGGGGCGTGGCCATGCACAGGCTCACGTTTTCAGTGGCATTTTTTGCAGCCAGTTTTGTTTCCTGGCCTTACTTTAAGCCAGATTCTGTTTTTACAGGGGCTCCCTGTCTTGATTAATGAAATTACGTTTCAAAAAAAAAGAAAAAAAACACTTATCACAGGTTCTAATCTCTGCAGTCATAGATCAATGCCATGAAAGAACCTTGCTGCGAATTTGACTAGAATGAATAAGCCAAATTCATTTTGACATAATCTAGAGTAAAGTCAAATTCATGTTATGTATAAATTGTCACACCAAATTGATTAACTGTTCACATATATCATAATTAATGTGTATAAAGATTTATATATAGTTAGTCATTGCTATTTTAACAATGCCATATGCATCTGATGTTACTTAATTTGCAGTCTCCAGTAAATCTTTCTAGGTATCTTCCATTCCCAGCGACTAGGTTCAGTAGAGACAATGAATTCATGTAACACATTGGGTGTGTTGGGAGATGCCAGGTTCATAGCTGTACGTGGGACGCATAGGGGCTGAATATCAGGTTGGGTTTGGTCGTTTGGATTTTGTGTCGGCCGTGGACAGGGGGAAGGTGATCAGCTTGCAAGGGAATTCTTCGTTTTGATTGCTGCAGTAAAAGTAAGAGGGATGATTGCTCTTGGAGGCTTCTAGGCGTGATCCCTGTTTGTCTACCTTTGAAGGCTTACCGGGGTTTCAACTGGAATGATTCACTTGTTTGATTGGCAGTTTTTCGGTCTAGGCCACATAAGCTACTCACTTATCTTAGTTTCACTAGTATTAAACTTTTGTTTAGAGATTTTATCCAGAACTCTGCTTGTTTTTGAGATTATTCGTGTTGAGATGCTGTCAAATGCTCCTTGAGCAGCTGCTCTTTTTGTAATTGTACAGAACAGGTTCTTCTCCAGATAGCTTCCATGCCAACAGGAGTTTCCAAATCTCAACGTTGAAGACTCCTCATGGCATTCCAGCTTATCATTAATAAAAACTCATCTTTCAAAAAAAAAATCAAATTAGGTAAGAACCAGCTGATGGTCCAGAAGCATATACTTTCTCTTTTATGTTTCATGAGGAATTTTTTTTTCAGTCAAATAAAATTTGTATTAATTTCACTGAAACTACGGTGTAGAGAATGACTCATATATGAGGATCAAAGTTAATATGTACAATCAAGATACAGGCCTAGTGGTACTCAATACCTTTAAATAAAAGATTCTTGCTCAGTGCTGTAAAACAATGCAAAAATCACAAATAAATCAAAATATTAACATGAAACAAAAGGCAGCAGCTCGTTCCAACAAAAGTGCAAGCAAAAGTTATCATCATGTTGAGAATATCATGTTCCTGTCAACTCCAAATTTGGTTAGAGAATCTACAAAAGAGTTATTCTGGTAAAGTGTGTGTAAAGGACACTATGTTTAGTGAATGGACAAATGCATCAATCTCGTTAAATATATACCAATTGTCCCGCCTAGTATCATGAAGAATTCTAGTGCACTTGAAGGAATTCTGAGTCAGGAAAGAAGTTCAATCATTCATTACAAAATCTAAAAAGGCATTAGTAATCCATGTATATTCTTTATGTTGAAAAACTAAGAAAATTAATATGAATAGGTTCGCATAATATTACAGTAGTAATTACTAGTATATAATTCAATTTTCACATTCAAAGTGATGGTAAGTAATTACTACAATTTACAAATCTGCAAGAACAGGCTAAATGATTCCTGGATTTATGCATGCTTTTTGCCCCATCTGTGCCCCATTAGACTCCTGTGGTCTGACAGCAGAAGCTAAAGCCCCTGCACTCAATTCATGTTGTCAATCAATCCAGATACTACGTATTAGTAGACATTTGTGCAATTGCGACTGTGTAAGTAGGAACAGGATATACTTTCTGATATTTTGGGATTCAAAGAGGGAACTATCCTCATGGTTTCATTTCGTAATTGCATTGGCATAAAAGCTCCATGGAAACCGTAAGGTACTCTGAACGGTAGTTTTGGCTACGGGCTCACTGGAGAAGTTCTTCGCTTCAATTACAAGAACCTGCTCCGCAATGAAAAAAGATAACCTCTCTGTTCGATACAAACACTTCAGCAATGGATATAGTTAGCAGGCTATAAATCAACTTACTTGAGATATATTAGTATCTTCATTGTGAACAAAAGTGATAACCCAACCATCATCTTCTTCAGCACCCCCTTCTTTAGGAACAAAGGAGGCACCAGTGCCAAAAGTGTTCTTCCCAAACATATGATATTCCACCTTTATCAACCCTTCTTCTTGATTTTCTCCCTAGTTTCAATATAGAAATTGGAATATTAATTCCCCCATTAATAAATGATGGAAAAGAGGACAAAAAGTATTTTTGAGGCAACTAAATACCAAGGAAAATCAAGTGTTCTGCTCTTCAAAGTACAGCTTGGCAAGGCCTCCATATGTTGCCATGCCTGAAATATTTATCAGATCAAAGGGTAGTACAAATGGGAATGCTAATGCAAATTTCCATTTCAGGGGCCTGTTTCTATTGACTACCTGAGGCAGAACTTGCAATACAATCACGAACTTCGCAATATCCATATTTGTTTTTAACACCTGTAAAAGCTCCATTAATCAAAGGAAAATCCATGGGAAATTCAGTCCCTGCCAGATTCCTCTCCTTTATATCTCCGGTTCGCATGTTCATTTGCCACTCATAAGGACGAGGAAATACTAGTTGGTCTTCTGGCACGGTATCAGCTCTTCCTTCAGCAGTAGATTTTACAGGCCTGAATTTTTCTGAAAACCAGTCGAATTTATTCTTTCCCTGATCAGGCCCTGGTATTAGTGAGTCCAGAGCTCTACAGCCCCAAATCACAACCTGTTCGAAGCACAGTGTCACTGTCAGAATTTTCTAGGTGTTAGATCAGTTATAAGATCATTTTCCACAGTTAAAATATGCTATAATTCCAGCCATAAGTTACCTCATCACCATTTTCGAAACAATTGAAGAGATGAAATGTGCAATTCGGTTTCACCTAAAACCACTGAATTGAATCCGCATCACCATAGCGAGGCATTATGCCAATCCTTGCATCTCCTTCTTTTTCGTATTTTACTAATCTACATGTCAAGATTGGCAAAAATGTTAAAAGAAAAACATTTTTACAGCAGAAGGAGGAAATTCCTGTAACGAATATATATAGACTCACTGGCCACCGCGAACAAGTCTGTTTAAGTCTATAGATAGAGGGTGGTCCATAAACACATTGTACCTGCAAACCAGAAATCCATGTCAATTTTATTAAGTAATATTCAGTAATTTTAAACTATGATGAAGACCATATACCACTCAGTTTACCTTTCTGTAACTCCAATTTCATGACATAGGCTGCACCTATTGAGCTTCAGATCGGCTCTGTGGAGCAATTTCTTTCCATCAGCTGAAAAGAAATTAAAGCACATGTATTAGCAGGTCGCCCAGGCCTTAAAGGATAATTCAATCTTATTCTAAATGCTCTGGGAAAAGAAGAATTTACCAGAAATTACTCCCACTTCAACAAAAGGCTTAGTTGCATTTATCCCCATGATTACCAGCTCCCCTGTGCCTGGAGCTTTCTGTTACATAAGAAATGATCTTAGCCAAAAAATCATAGAATCCACTGTAAAGTCGAAACCCAAAAATAATTTCTGTAGGGAAAGCGAAGAAACCTTTTGATGAGAGGAGAATGGCCTGTTCCAAGCTACATTGACATCCCAGTCATGCAAGGTTTCTAGTGTAACGATGTTGATCTCTTGAGGTTCGTGATTTTCCGCAATGGAGTAGAACTTCCCGGCATGCTCAAAGACATTGGTATTGCTCATTTGTTTGTTTATTTTACCAAATCTCAACGGAGAAAATGTAAATAAATCAAACACTTATACACCAAATCTTGAGAAATATTAACTTATCCAAAAAAGTAAAAATCTAGCTCAGTTAGGAAAGCAGATATTTTCAAATTAAAATGGACAAAGGTTTCTTGTTTAATCCAAAAGATCCCCACTACTCTTGGAAGGTGGGCTTATTTTAATTTAGGATGAGGCTGACTGATAAGAAAGAAGAACGTTCGGATAAGCCAAGCCCACCATATTAAGCAAAAAAGCAGACAAAACAACCGGCGAATCCCCTTCTACGGCAGGTAGAAAAGACGGCTTGTTCCGTTGTTTTTCCAGCCTAAATGTTTCTGTTTCAACGTGTCTGTTGTTATAAACAGCAGCCCAGCTACCATACACGCCTTTGCTAAAATACAAAGCATGCTGCATTCCTTCTCCTTCTACCCAATATGTGATTCGACCTCCCGAACATTGATATCGTTGATGTTAACGCTCCAAAAATGGGGTTTGGTCCTGCAATAATTACAAAAACTTGTTTAGCCATAATTAACAACAAATTACTGGATAATCCACTTGTCCACATCATGGCATTTAACCTTTTGGAATGTAATGAGAAGCATCGACTCTGAAGAACAAAACATCATTCCACCAGCTCAGAACACACTGGCAAATGGCTTGTTCATAGGCAAATTGCTCGCCGCGGAAGGCGAGTCTCAAAAGTGCAGGCACAAAAGTTTAAGTTGGTCATATATATATAAATCCCGGTCAATGGACTGTATCTGTTAACTTGTCTTTACAATTGTACTAATTGTCTACAAAATACAGAAACTGTCACCAAAAGAGAGCTGCAGGCATTGCATATCAGACCAACTTAGCCTTGGGTCAATGTTTTTAGTTTGTCTCCTGTGAGAAATCTCCCTGGAGATACAAGGCCACATAAAACATAGCTGGTTCGTCGAGATTTCGTCCTAACCAATGCCTTCGGTTGCATTAGGCTTAAAATTCGTAATAAATTAAAGATACTTAATCCTGTTTTATTTGAATTCAGACAATAGTTTAATAATAAAGTGATTATGTCAATAACAAACCGTTTCTTATGTAGACACCCTCCGGAAAATCATCTGGAATTTCCCCTTGGATGTTGGTGACTCGAACGGCTTCTTTCAACTCATCTACTGGAGCAAAATTACTCTGTAAAGCACCCAGAAATGTTAACTTTGTTAATGATATAATACATTCATGGACAAGCTTCCATGGTACCTGAGATGGTAGCAATGGCTGATCAACAAACTCGACCACAGAATCAACAAATGCATCCAGTAACTTGACAGAAGTGTTCTTGACGGCTTTGGAGACATCTACCTCTACCCGCAAGGGAAGTTGCTGTATCTGTCTTACTAATGGCTGTCGAAAAGATGCCCATCATTATCAACTGCTTATCATATTTGATGATCTTCGAAGAATGGTCATGAAGTTTAGTATAAGAAAAAGAATAACCAGCAAGCAAGAAATTTACCAGCATGCAAACTAATGATCACTTCCTGTAAACAAACTCTAAGAACTATGAAGTATAAACAGCTTGCTTTCAACTAGGAGAGAAACTAACCTTGAAAGCAGAGGAGAGAGAGGCCTTGAAGTGATCAAAGTTGGATGAGAAGGAAGGCCTTTGAACAGAGCAATGCAATGGAACCGGCAATCGAGAAGATGCCATCCGATATCTTCTCTGTCCCAATTATCTTAAATTTTAGTCAGTCGATTTGTTCATATTTATAAGATGTTTCCACATTGCTTCAATTGTTTTATTTATTTATTTTTGGGTGCAATATATATGTCCAAGTGGCTATTCGTAATATGCCTGTAATACCTCAATCCAAAAATATGATTACATTAGTATGTTTACTAAATCCTAAATTTAACAAATAGATTTTATTGAAATTACTTATAAAATATTTGAGTTTATAATAGAATAGTTGTATAATAAGGACCTTTTAGCAGATAAAGTGATTTTATTTTAATTGGAGTCAAATTACATTATCATGTTAAAAAAAAAATCAATTATATCTTATCACATTTTTAAAAAAAAGGAAAAAAATCAGTAAAGTACGTTTAAATAAAAACAATTTATACATTTAAAAGAAAAGAGATAAAGTCAATTATTTTATCACATATGAGGAAGTTAAAGTCAGTTTTTATTAGTGCGTTTAAAAAAATACAGAGAAGAAAAAATAAAAATAAACCATTTGGAAGAAACTAATCCTAGAAAAGAAGAAGGCAGAAAAAAAAAAGATTTATTCAAGAAAGCAATTATTAAGGTATGATTAAGCTTTAACTTTAGTTTATATTTCTTTAACTTTTTTTCAAATCCGGTATTGTTTCGGTGACTTTTCGGTGGCATGATGGGTATCAATGGAAAAGTCTTGAAAAGATTTTCCAATGGTTTTTGTAGCATCTTGTTTGGTTTTGTGATTTGAAAAATATGAATTTTTAAATTTAATTAAAAACATGATTTTCAACAGTTTTGATAACCCAAGTTTGGGTCATCGAAACTTCATATTCTAGTAACATTTTTGTCATTTCTTTGAGGGTTTTTATAGTATGAAATGAGATGTTTAATTTGGTACCAATGGCTTAGTTAGGGGCTTCTTGTGTTAAAGAGAATTAAAGTCTTAAATTAGGTTTATTGATACTAAAAACTCAGAAATCTTGATATTTTTATGATGATTTTACATTTTTGGCTTCTGAAATTTGAAAATTTTATATTCCTTTTAATCGAAACAAATGCTATAGTATGATATGAATACTTCAATTTTGTTTTGATTTTATGACTGAAAATAATTCGGGTTAAGAGTTATAAGTGATTAAAGTAAGGCAAATAATTATAAAAATCTGAAAATTTAGAATTTATAAAAATTCATTTTTAATTATTTTAAAAATTATTCTTGACTTATATTCAACCTCTTTTGCTAGAAATTTCAAAAAATTAAGCAATTTAAATTTTAGTACCGTTTTGTGAAATTGGATAATCAGAATCAAAAAATATATTTTATTTTGTCTCCTAGTATAGCTATGATATGATCCTGCCAATGGGAGTTAAACGTTGGCCATATCGATATGTAGAGATCAATCTCCCAACCACACCACCGGTTACTGTTCAGAGTAGTCAATAATTGCTTCTGATATACTTATGACCCATGCCACTGGGGTTAATTATGATTTTTATGACTCATGCCATTGGGGTTAATTGTGGTTTCTGTTATGATTATGACTTATGTCAAAGAAGTTAAGTATGACCATAGTATGTTACAGGAGACTAATAAAAATATAAAATTAGTGTGAAATTATATTTTGTTTTGTTACCTGAAAGTTTCAAAATTGTGTTAACTATGTTATCTAAAACAAAATTATGTTTGCTTTGTACTTCAAAAATGAAATTTTGAAATATATGTTTTGAATGAGATTACCTAAAAAAATTTTGTTTTGATATCTATATATGTATTAGAAATTTTGGCCCAACTTGAATGTAAAGATATCAGTTATTTACTTAGTGATTATACTCATTCACATAATCCTTATCATTTTTACAAATTTCAACACGTATTCATATGTGGGGATTATACTTATTCGATGAGAGCCTTGGTTAGCAAGATTAGTATATGTCTTTTGACATTTATAAGTTTTGATGTAAGTATTCGGATTTTAGTTTGTAAAGAGATGATAGCTATATGAAACTTTTGTACTTTTGGGAAGATTATATATATTGTGTTATATGGAGATTTGAGGTTTTGTAAAGTGTAAAAATTTAAAGAGATTTTGGAGTTATTACATTTAGTTTAATAATATGTTATTGCCTTACATGCTTATGGGATTCATCCCATAAGTATGTGGCGTTAGGTCCTGAAACCTTGAGTTTGGGGCGTGACAATGCTTTTATGTCCTACAATTTAATTTATTTGTCAAGATAACAGCTAGCTTACCACACCCTTAAAAGGTCAGTTAATAATTAATTACACAAATTACAAAATTATTTTTAGTTTATTTTTATTTGCATTACACTTTTAATTTTATTAGTATTATTTTTTTAGAATAATGGTTTAAAAAACATTTCTTCTACTCCTATATACGAGAATATTAATATCTTTATTATATAAAGTGATTTTTTAATATATGAAAGAGGAAAAAATGCAAATTATGAAGAATTAATTAATAATATGATAATTTAGGTGTCCCAAAATAGAAATTAAAGCAATTAATTTGGAAAGAAAAACTTTGACATAATATCTAAAAAAAACCCTTTAAACTATTTAGAAAAATTTAAATAAATTTTTATATTTTTATTACATTCAATCAAACTCTTTTACTTTTATTTTGAACTAAATAAATGCTTATATTTTTATTTTAAACCAAATAAATATTTATAACTAATTATTGACTCATTCAAAATGTCATTTCTCATTTTATATTATGTAGTAGTGACGTAATATATTAATGTATCATAATTGATGATAATTTGACGTATTGATATATTATAATTTGATAATGATGTGTTATATTAATTTGTTATGATAATATACATCATATGATATTTTTCACCTTCCATATTAATGCCATGTCAGTGTCATGTAAATATAAAATAATAAATAATATTTTAATTAATATTAATTAATTAATTATTAATCATAAAGATTTATTTAACTCAATAAAAACTTATTTAAATTTTTTAAATATTTTAAAAATTTATTTAAACATTATGTCAAAATCTTTAAAAAAAAAACAAAAGAGAGAAGAGGATGAAGACAATTGTTTTCAAAATAGGCATCTTTTTGTTGCGAAATGCCTTTTCAAGCAATTTGGAATATGCCTTTTGTTGCTTGATATTGAATCAAGTCAAGTACATGACTTGATTGAAAAGGAAATTTCAACGATTAATTGGAAAACAAAGAAGGCAGCAATCAATACGTTTTGTTTATGATGAAAGTAGGAATGGATTAACAATCCAAAAGTGACAAGTCCCCATCAAAGCATGACATATAATTACATGATTTTCCATTTTTCAAATCCCATTGGATGTGAAGTAAGTTGGTGGTTAACTAAGCTTACAAGCTATTGTGCCCCCCAAGTCAACAGCTCAACACTGCAGTTTACGTGGCTATAACATTCCCAGTCTGTTTAATGACATTACATTATTTCAATCTGACAACTGTTGGATCAATCAATGGAATCAGGCGTGGGGAACCATCCTGGTGAGTTTTTCATGCAATTGCATTGGGATATAAGCTCCATGGAAACCATACGGAACTCTGCATGGCAATGTAATTTTGGCAACTGGCTCACTAGAGAAGTTCCTTGTGTCAATTAAATAAACCTGTATGTCAGAGGAAAATGAGTACTAAACTCCATTGAAATAAGATATAAATGGTTATCAGGTTTTCCCAGATTGACTTACTTGAGATATGTTTGTGTCTTCATTGTGAACAAATGTGATGATCCAGCCATCGTCTTCTTCAATACCTCCTTCTTTAGGGACAAAGGAGGCTCCGGTGCAGAAAGTGTTTTCCTTGAACATATGGTATTCCTCCTTTGTTAGCCCTTCTACTTGTCTCTGTCTCTGATATCAAAATCCAAGTCAGAAGAATCCATGCAAGGAGAATTATACATGAAAGAATTCAGGAAAAATAAGAAGATTTATTTTACCGAAGAAATCCCAGTATTTGGCTCTTCAAATGACAGCTTGACAAGGCCTCCGTACTTTGCCATGCCTAAATTTAATTATAAAATTGAGGATCATAGCACATCTTGAACCTAATGATAGCTAGATCTTACCTACAAATTATGAAGGCTTCAAGTACCTGAACTAGAACTTGCAATACAATCTCGCACTTGGGCATAGGCGTATTTGTTTTTCAAACCTGTAAAAGCTCCATGGATCAGAGGAAAATCCATGGGGAACTGAGTCCCTGTCAGATTTCTCTCCTTGACATGCCCAGTTCGCATGTTCAGCCGCCACTCATAAGGACGAGGAAACACTAATTGATCTTCTGACATTGCATCAAGACTTCCTTCAGTTGATTCTATAGGCCTGAATTTTCTGGAAAACCACTCGAATTTGTTCATACCCTGATCAGGTCCTGGAATGACTGATTCAAGGGCTCTACACCCTCGAATCACAATCTGTGTTACAAAATATCGAATCAGTTATATAAGTTCATCTTCCATGTCTAAGACAGAATCGAATTTTGAATTTACCTCATCACCATCCTCAAAAGAATTGATGAAATGAAATGTGCAATTTGGTTTCACTTCAAACCACTTGATTGAATCTGCATCCCCATACCGGTGCATTACACCCATCCTAGCATATCCTCCCTTGTCATATTTTATTAATCTACGCAGTACCATTGTTACACAGAACCGGAACACTTTTGTGAGTTGAGTGATGAAAATAAAAAGTTAGAGTCAAAAAGAATACGAACTCACGGGCCACCGAGAAGAAGTCTGCCCAAATCTACAGTTAGTGCGTAGTCCAAGAATACATTGTACCTGCAAATGAAAATTCTATGAAAATCAAAAAACTCCATGACAATTGTCTGAATATTAATGCAGCTGGTTTTTGGAGCTAATACAACTATGTCTGATCATTATAACAAGTTTACCTCTGGGTGACTAAAATTTCATGGCTAAGGGGGCACCTATTTAGTTTGAGATCCATTCGGTGAACCAGTTTCTTTCCATCAGCTGAAAAAGAATGTAACTGAGATACTAACATGTTGCCACACCTGTGGAAGTGTATGCTTAAATTTTGTTCTAAATGCGCTTGGAATGGGGATCATACCAGAAATTACTCCCAGTTCAGCATAAGGTTTAGTTGCATCAATCCCAAAGGTAACTAGCTCCCCTGTCCCTGGAGCTTTCTGTTACATAAGAAGTGATAAGCTTAAGCAAAAATCACACTATCTTGTACTATAAACTATAAAGCTGCTAAGTGGATCTATACAAAAGCTTCTGATATAACGATAAGAAGAACAACCTTAGGATGTGAGGTAAATGGTCGGTTCCAAGCTCCATTAACATCCCACATATCTAAAGCTTTAAGCGTTAAGATGTCAATCTCTTGAGGCAAGTGATTTTCTGCAATTGTGTAAAGCTTCCCCGAATGCTCAATAATGTTAGTGTTGCTTAGGTATTTGTTAACTTGGCCATATCTCAGCTGGGGAAATAGCAAAGAAATCAAACAATGGGTTACCTAAGAAGTCTTCAATTAACCAGTTCTACTTTACAAGATAAACATATCTGCAGATAATTATTTTTATCCAACCCCTGCTCAGTGCCGCTGGAAGAAATCTCAATAGTTATGGTCTACTCAGAACTGAACCAAAACATACAGATCCTTCTAGTCCCCTTTCTGAGTCTAAAATGTCCATATCTTAAATTAGAATCAGGCTGCTTGGTTTGAAAGAACATTGTATTGTTTAAGTAAACCCACCATATTAAGTACATAAGCGCAGACAATAGCCGGTGAATTCCCTTCCGCAGCGGGAAGAAAGGATGGTTTGTTTCGTTGTTTTTCCAGCTTGAATGTCTCAGTTTCAACATATCTGTTGTTGTAACAGACGGTCCAGTTTCCTTCAACGCCTTTGCCAAAATACAAAGCATGAATCATTCCTTCTCCTTCTACCCACATGTGACCTGACCTCCCAAATATAGATTTTGTTGATTTTAATCCACCAAAGAGCGGGTTTGGCCCTGCAATTAAATAATGATAATGAAAATAACTTGTCGACATTATCAGCTATATATTTATACGTTAATGTGAAAGGATTATCGACCACAGGGCATTAGAATAATTCTAAAGCCTTGATCATGCTATGTAAGTTTTTGGTTGTTATAAGAAACATCAACCATCAAGGACAAAAATATAGGAGATTCCTCCAAGATATGTTTATATCATATATATTGACACATCACATTCATCATAAAAACAATGAGGTCAATATCAAACCATTTCTTAAGTAGACACCCTCGGGAAAGCCATCCGGAATTTCACCATCGATGCTTGTGACAAGAACAGCTTCTTTCAGTTCATCTATTGGTGCAAAATTACTCTGTTCAATCAACAGTCACAAGAATGTAAGACCTGATCAGTACGCTATGTGCATGATGCAAGGCGCAATATAAGTTTTAAGTGCATGATGTTGAAGGCCTATGGTACGTACCTGAGATGGGAGCAATGGCTGATCGGTAAACTCGAATGCAGAATCAACAAACGCATCCAGTAACTTGACAGAAGTTTTCTTAATGGCTTTCGAGATGTCGATTCGCAAGGGAAGCTGTTGCAACTTTCTCAAAAATGGTCATCAGGATCCCAGGACACCCACACCCCACATGTCAGTGACACTTAACATTAGTCATGAATTCATGCATTTTTATAAATCTATAATGAGCAGCTTGCTTTAGGAGAAAGAAGGAAGGTGGCCTGAGCCGTAACTAACCTTGAACATAGTAGAGGAGAGAAGGGTCTTGAAGTGATCAGAATTTAATGAGATGGGGGATTTTTGAGCAGAGCAATGCACTTGAAACGCCACAAATGAAGCTGCCATGGCTCTCTCTTTCTCTACTGCCTTAAGTACTTGTTAGGAGGTTTACATCTATTAAAATAGAGTAGGTCTAAGTTTGCAAGGTTTTGCCAATCTATACTACTATTTATAAAGTTATTGAGGTGAGAGACATAGTAAATTGTACTTATGACCTTCATGGCTTCAATTGAACAGATGCTTATTTTGTTTCCATGTGTTTAACAATAAGGTAGAACATCACTTCAACTCAAGTGATTTACAATGACAACATTTTTTTATTTTCTTTAAATTATGTTAACTATTCTAGTCTATGATCCTCTCACAAGTTGGATGAGAATGTGACGTATCAGTAAAAAAATCTGAGCTGATATAAAACTTTTCTTCCAATTAGCTGTATTTAGGCTGAGAAGATCACGGGAATATGCCATGTTTGAGGAGTTAATTAGCTCAAATCTCCTTAATATCACTGAGCAACAACTTGCCCGAAAACAGACAAAAGTTTTCGATTAAACAGCCTGGTAAGGACTAAATTTAAACATCACACCTCTTTATGCTTGAAAGCTACGGCTCCTATTAATTGATTGATTTACATCAGCTCAAGCCACATAGTACTGCCACAATGAATAATTAATGAAGAGAGACATAGCTTGGAATGTTCGATATTAACAAGTCGTCTTCGTTATTCTCTTGTGCAGTTGGATTGGCATGAAAGCTCCATGAAAACCATCCGGTACTCTGCATGGTAATGTAAGTTTGGCAACTGCCTGGCTGGAGAAGTTTCTTGTGTCAATTATATAAGCCTGTATCGATCCAAGGAAAGCAAATACGGATTAAATTATTAGGAAAAAACAGTCCTTAACATGATTTATTTTAGCAGCTGAGAAGTTTGACTTACCTGAGATATGTTAGTATCTTCATGGTGAAGAAATGTGATGATCCAACCGTCATCTTCTTCAGCACCTCCTCCTTTAGGGACGAAGGCAGCTCCAGTACAATAAGTGTTCTCCTCAAACATATGATATTCCACTTTGATCAACCCTTCTTCTTGCTTCCCGCTCTAGTTTCAAATTTGAAGTTGGGATAGTAAGTGCAGTAATAAATAGCAGAGAGAATTGAAGATAAAAGAATGAATGAGAAACCTATTTACCATAGAAGTCCCAGTGTTTTGCTCTTCAAAGTAGAGTTTGGCGAGGCCCCCGTATTTCCCCATGCCTGAAATAACCAAATCAAAGGACCATGTTATGTTAAATAACCAGCCATACAGATGACAGAAAAGTTATGGTAGAGGGCTCATATTTCTATTACCTGTGGCAGAACTTGAGCCGCAGTGACATACTTGGGTGTACCCATATTTATTTTTAACACCTGCAAAAGCTCCATTGATCATAGGAAACTCCATGGGGAATTCATTAGGCCCTGTCAGATTTCTCTCTTTCACATCTCCAGTTCTCATGTGCAATCTCCACTCGTACGGACGATGAAACAATAATTGGTCTTCTGAAATGGAATCAACACTCTCTTCAACTGGTGCACCAGGCTTATATTTTGGCGGAAACCACTCAAATTCCTTTGAATCCGGATCAGGTCCGGGTATGACTGATGCAAGAGCTCTAGAGCCCCACACTACAACCTGTTGACAAAGATGGAGCTCTCTCAAAATTTCATGTAGCTGCAAATTCAATTTTATCAATCCCATGGAGAATACAGTCAATTGCTTAGATATATTTATATAATTAAGTTACCTCATCACCATCCTCAAAGCAATTGATAATGTGGAAAGTGCAATTTGGTTTTACTTCAAACCACTGGATTGAATCTGCATCCCCATAGCGAGGCATTATGCCAATTCTTGCATATCCTTCCCTTTCATATTTTACTAACCTACATATCAGCAGAAGTTCACAATATAAAACATTTCTTAGTAAGCCAAAGAAAGAACATCTTCTCATAAAATTAGGAACTGAAATATATGAACTTACTGGCCACCATGAATAAGTCTAGCTATATCTACAGTTAGTGGGCAGTCCATGAACACATTATACCTGCAAAACAATATCCCAAATTGGAAATCAATTGTTTTGAATCATGCAGCTGGTACTTTTCTAACTTACACAAGGAAAAATAAAACATTTATATATGCAGATTGCAGACACACACAGAGCTTACCTCTTTGTAACTCCAATTTCGTGGCAAAGTGGGCACCTATCGAGTTTAAGATCCACCCTGTGGACTAATTTCTTTCCATCAGCTGAAAATAAAATTAGAAGTGTTAGAATGGAGATATCAGCATGTTGCCACCCCTTTAAGGAATTAAAGGATGTTACTTAATTTTGTTCTCTATGCTCTAGACTAGGGTTATGTATGGATAGTATACATGAAATTACTCCCACTTCAACAAAAGGTTTAGTTCCTTGAATCCCCATGGTAACCAGCTCCCCGGTGCCTGGAGCTCTCTGTCATATAGAAAATGAACTCCATCATCGTAAAGCTAATATGTATAGTAACTTTCATGTAGGTGTGAAGAAGAACCTTCGGATGTGCTGTAAATGGTCTGTTCCATGCTCCACTGACATCCCAATTACCTAAAGCTTCGAGTGTAAAGATGTCAATCTCTTGAGGCGAGTCACTTTCTACAGCTGAGTAGAATTTCCCGGAATGCTCAAAAACATTGGTATTGCTTGTATTTTTATAGGGTTTGCCAAACCGCAGCTGGGGAAAAATAGCAAGAAAGCAAACAAAGGTTATCAGTTTTATGCTTCTTTTCTAGCTATTACATACTCTACGAGCTTCTCAGTTAACCACTAGCTAATTCTTTGTAGGTGAGACTCTGAGAATTTTAATAATGTCATCTAGATCTGCCTGGGAAATGTCATACTTCTGGATATTGGACTAAGACCTCATGTTAAATCGTACTAGTCTCCATCTAACGCCGGAACTAGCCATGAGTTTCAACTAAGGACTAGGACGCTTGATTTGAAAGAACAATTTTGGATAATGAGCCCACCAAATTAAGCAAATAGGCAGACAAAACAGCTAGCGGATCTCCTTCCACGATAGGAAGAAACGTGGGTTTGTTGCGCTGTTTTTCTAGCTTGAAGGTCTCAGTTTCAACGTGTCTGTTATTATAAACGACAGTCCAGCTCCCATCAATGCCTTTACTGAAATACAAGGCATGAAGCATTCCTTCTCCTTCCACCCACATAGGACTCGACCGTCCAAATAAAGATTTGGTTGACTTTAGTCCCCCAAAAAGAGGATTTGGTCCTGCAGATAAAATGGCATTGACCAGTCAGCACTAACTAAAAAAAGTTATGAAAAACTCAGAGATCACATGACACAATTCACAATATAATCGCCAGAATTTTATTTCCTTGTGTCGTTATATTATTTCCATAGTATGAAACTTCAGTGGAAAATTGCAATAGTAATAGTATTAAACTTCAAAAATTCTGCAGAAGGTTTTTCTGTGTTTCTTAGCTTGCCGGCCTGTCAATGAATCCTCGTTTTTCTCATCTTTACATTTATATGTCACCAAATCATGTTACTTTTAGTTTTTGTTTTATATTTATGTCTTGTATCAACTGTCCTTGGAGATAAAATCTTTAAACTTTGTTAGTTCTGCAATTTTTTAACTTGAAGCAATGGCTTCTCTTGTGCGTGTGGACTGAAACTAACAACAACTATATGTTCTTGTTTTACTTGAATTATATTCTCTGTATAATGTATTGTTTCACACCTGAAATACAAAATCTTATATCCTAACCATTAATTATCTGTAATCTTGTATGATAAAGGGTGGTGCTGCTAAGATGTGGGCTTTTAATTAGGTTAGAAAACCAAACCATTTCGTATGTAGACGCCCTCGGGAAAAACACTTGGAATTTGGCCTTGGATGTTGGTGACAAGAGCAGCTTCTTTCAATTCATCCACTGGAGCAAAGTTACTCTGTCCAACATTCATAAACCTTGGTAAACATACACAAGCTTCCATGTGCATTACTCAAAAGCAGAATTCATAAAATATTTAATAATATAAGGCCTATGATATACCTGAGATGGGTGCAATGGGTGGTCAACAAACTCGAATACAGAATCTACAAATGCATCAAGCAACTTGATCGAAACGTTCTTGACAGCTTTCGGGACATCAATCCGGAAAGCAAGTTGTTGCAATTCTCTTACCAATGGCTGTCACGAGAATGGAAAAAATCTATAAGCACGTTATATTCAAGCCAACTTAATTTTTCTCATAGAGAGAGGAATTAGCTAACCTTGAACGAAGAGGAGAGATCAGTTGTCTTGAAGAGATCAAAGTTGGGTGAGATGGAAGGCTTTCCAAAGGAGCAATGAACTTGACATGGAACATAAGAAGATGCCATCTTATAATTTCTTTTCCTCTTGAAACCAAGGTCTTGCAAGCAAACCACACCAAGTTGTGAAGATAACTGCGAACTAAGGCCTTACGTATATATATATATATGTAGTATGCACTCCATGGTGAATTACATATAGAGTCTGCTCAAATACATTTACGTGTCAAAGGAAACAAAACATTAAAAGAAATTAATTAGTGCAGAAGTGGATAGAAGAGTTTTAATAAGCTTTTCGTGGTCAAATTTATTGCCTTTTTAACCAAATTTTTAATTCTAAATGAAGTAGTATATTTGTGTCGCATATCCAAGTAGTCTGAAGCCAAAAATGACGCCCGGTCGTACCGAATTAAAGATTAAGGTACCGAAAGAATAGAGGGTGCAGCCATTTGACCAATAGCAAGATAATATGCATTGAACGATAACAGAACAAATTGCAGCCGCTAACTCTATCCATAACCAACCAATTACATTACTAAATTTAGTTAAAGCAAGTTAGGCCGTACTATTGTCAATTTGGATGAGCAATTGAATGGTTTGGTTTGTGATAACTCTATTATATAGAGTTATTTTGATACATTTTGGGGACTTAAGTAGTTAGATCTTTGAGATTTTAAGTTCGGATTTTAACATTTTAAGTATTTTTCTAGTTTAAGTTTTGATTACTTGTTAAGTGATTAATTTAAGTTATTTCAGTTAAATTTTATGTTGTTTTGTTTTAAATTCTTAAGAGTAGTTATTGCTAATTTCTCTTATGATTTTTGTAGAAAATTGATGAAAAAGGCTCATTTGATGAAAATCAGTACAAGTATGACTATGACTTCATTCATATATATTTTGGTATTTTGATCATATCTCTCTCTAAACATCTCTCTAAATAACTCCAAATGAGGTGATTCTTGGACCACTAGAATTCTAAGAAGAAGGACTACAACGTTGATTTTATCAATTCACCCAGTTCTGACTAGATCATGGTCAAAATATTTGTCAAAGTCGGAGCACTGCAACAGTATGCAAGAACTGAATATGATGCGATATTTGGAGTATATGTTTCAATCCAAAAATCCAATTGATGTGATTCTTTATCTATTAGAAAGTTAAGAGATAGGGCTAAAACTTTTATGTTTGCTACTTTGCCCAATTTGAAACATGTCAAGATGAAACTCACGTTTGAAATTGATAGACTGTCACAGCGCTAGGATAACAAGGCTGCAGCGTTGATGAAAGGAAGCAAACATACAAATTTTCAGAGAGCTCAGCGTTGCAGCGCTGGAGAAGTAGTGCCGCAGCACTGGGTAACTTTTCAAAAATTAAAAAAATTGACAAGATTTTGAAAATTAGGTTATTTGGAGCCTATTTAAGGGACTTTTTTCAGAAATTTTGAAAAGGAGACAGCAAACAACTATTCTGAAGATTTGAAGCTAAGAACAAAGCAAGGAAACAAGAGAATTGGAGAGAGAATCAATATCACAAAGCTCTAACTATTAATTTTCTGTCTTTACTTTTGTGTTTTTCTTATTTTTTTTTATTTAGATTTATGGCTAAATTTCTTTAAATATTGTTTTTATTAGATACTATGAGCTAAATTATTTTTCTAGGATTGCAATTAAACTCACATGTAATCTAACTTTTAATCTCTTTCTTACTTATCTTTAATGGGATTTGAATTGTTTATTCCAATTTGTGCTTAATGCTTTTAATTGCTTAGTCACCAATTAAATTGATCTAGGAACCTAAACAAACTTGGGAAAGGGAGTTTAGTGTAGACTAAAATTGGGATAGCATATGATCATATTAATTGATTTGAGTATAGGATAGAGATATACCTACAGGCCATATGTAGCCAAATTAGAGCTTGAACTTAATAAGTCTGTTTTAATTTCAATTCACATAGGGATATAGTGTTTTGGTTAAAATAGATATTTTTATAAGATGTGTCGGGAGACCCTTATAAATAATTTAGAACTCTAAATTAGCAATTCAACCCATTGAAATAAGTTAAAGAAGAGAGGTAAGATTTAGATGAAGTGTGAGAGATATTGTAATCCTAAACTTATTTGATTTGATATTTACCTAATTATTTTGTTGCTTTAATATTTAATTAAATCAACACCCATCAGCCATCAATTTTCACGATGAGCTGAATCCACCTTATACAACAACATTTATTTTTTTGAGTCCATATAATAATAGCCATAACTCAAACTTGCACTGATATGGATTAGCAACTCGTATAACTCAAAATTTTGGTGAACTTGAAAACCATATTAATTGGGATCTAATTAATGAATACCACCCAACTCTATGTACACAAATTGGACTTGCTAGACTGCTAGACAATAGAGAATTAGGCCTGTGAATATCAACCCTTAGTCCCACCTAACCCTTCCTCCCTTCCCTTCCCTAAACCCCAACAATCTTTCACTAGGGGTGCCCCAACAATCTTCCACTTGTGGTCGAATTCATTCCAACTCAATCCCATATAAGTTTTCGTTATAACCAACCAAAATTACAAACAGAAAGAAAGCAAAGAAAATTATCGGCTAAGGTAGTTTATTCAGACCTTCAGCTTCACATCAATACACTATATCTGGATACATGCTTAGCCACTAAAACAATCAAAACCCTGTTAAATGTTATGACAAACTTACTTCCCGCAGCCAAGGGCGAACACAAAAGGAATTGGTTCGCCGGTGCTATCTTTGTGATCATACGTCGAATCGAACCGCCACCGCTGCTTTGCTGCCAGCCTTCCATAATAACGTGTAAATAAAAAAAATTAAAAAAATATAAAAATAAAATTGAAACAACACAAATGAGGAAACGACAATATTAAATATACATTATATTTTATATAAATTTAAAAATAATATATATAAACAATTAGTTTAATTTGTTATTGATTTGGTTTAAAAATTTTAAAATCAAAAATTGATAAAAAAAAATCAATTAGATCAAATATTTTAAATTAATTGACTCAATAAATCAACTATAACAAATCATTTTATTCAAATTGAATTTAATTTAAATAAATAATTATGCTGATCTGATTTAATTTTATTCACCCCTAATAACCAGAAAGCTTCTTTTTGCGTTCTTTGGCATAGGACTACAACATGGTTTTTGCCATTTGCCAATTTGGAGCTTGGACTAATGGTTCAGATAGCCCCATATCAGGGCAGATGCTTGGGCCATAAATGATCTTTTGGGACATCCGGAAGAAACCAAGTGCATTCTGCCTTGGATTGAGCAAAATTTGAGGCCCAATAGGTTATTCAAAAATTTTTCAAAGCCCCATGTGAATGGATGGAAACCAAGTGCTCAAAAATCCCTGTGATCATTCATTTATCTATACAAGTTGCCATTAGCCTATGCAATTTGTAGAATAAACTCAAAAGAACGTCCTAATAGAATCTAGTAAAGTAGGCTGTCTATCTAAGATCAAAATTTCACCTCTTAGGAATAACAGATCCATTAATCAACAGTACTGGAGAATATCACAATTCAGAACCAATCAGAGCTGAAAATTATATTCTTTACATCAAATTTCTGATACAATATGGTCAGAAATGCTATGAAAGTACATAAAAATGAGAGCTAGAAATCAGTACAACAATGGCTATGGTAGTATCCAGTATAGCATGAAATCTCACAAACCAGTGAATCAATTGTCTGCCTGAAAATCTAATTCAGAGTCACCCAGCTTTAGATGAATCAGTGGGGTGCTGTTGCAAGCTCCTCCTGAGAAAATCAGACAACTTGGCACTAGCGGCACGCCCTCGTTCTAGGCAGTAAAAGTAATCATCCACTGGAACAAGAGTTCAAATAGGAATCTATTAGAATGAAATATTGTCTAATAAATCTTAAGCCCAATGCTTCAAGAGGTGAAAGACATAGTTGTAAAAGAAAGAATGAGATCACAGTTGTCGCAACACCCTAATCCCATCTAAACAAGAATTCAAAGCCAAGCTATTCCACTTGCAACCAAACTAGTGATAGCATTTAGCAAGTTCTTGTTCCATGAGAGTAACCAGTGATAATGGTAAACATTCTATTTGATAGCAACCTTAAATCTCCAAAAAAAAATATACTTAACTTTTTGACAATTAAATGTGATTCCGCAGCTGCAAAGCATATTAATTTTGATAAGGATAGACCAATAGAGTGTGACAGATACCTGACATTATACCATGGGTAACTGATGTAATAATTCCATGTTCCATAGGTTCACCTTGCACACTTCCTCCAGTAAGCACCGAATGGACTGAGTTTGGGAAAACTAAATATGCAAATGACTTCATTTTCTGCCATTATGAAAGACATACATGTCAGAAGATCGGAATTAAACAAACTTTACAAGAAGCCAACTATTCTAGATTCGATCTGTCTAAGGCTGCAATCATATATGCCAGATGAAAGCTCCTACTGTCAGAATTATAGTTTAAGGACATAGTATCATGAATATCATTGGATTTATCAGGGGAAAACTTATTCTCTTTTTCTTTTTCCTTTTCTGGGGTTTAGAATTTTCGCACATGAGCTAAATTCTAGTTACAGAAGAAATTTATAAAAACAAAATAAATTAACAAAGGGAATTCCATAGTAACCTGCTCTTCTAGCTTGGTGGGATCCAATATAACATATCCACTCTTGGCCACACAACAACATATTGCAACTGCACTATTCAGTATATAATAGTCAGCCAGAATTTAAGTCCTAGATATTAAAGAAACATGAATATGACTATATGTCTGCATTGCTTACCAGCAAGATGCTTCATAGGAATTCCTGCATCTACAAGGGCCACACATGCCGCATTTATGGCACATGGAAGAAGCTATAAGAGGTAATATCAAGGATTGCAATGAAATTGACAAGAAGATGTGTGATATATCCCTCACTAGTTATTACCAAAAGAGGGTAAAAAAAAACAAAAAAACATCAAATCATAATATGAAGCAAAAGTTACAAACAAAATCTCTGGGGCAGCATTTTTGGCTCATCAAAATTGTAATCTTCTCAAAGTAAATTCTGAGTGCATCTTAACATACACGTAATGAAAATTAAACTATTGAAAACCAAATCCTTCAATAACTGAAAACTAGGGAACAATGAAATAAGCTGTAAAACAATCCTAATGGAAATGCATAAAGGGATACAGCACCATCCTCATTGACAACCTGGACAGAAAACATAAAAACTCAATTCACGAATAAATTGGCTATAAACAAGGGATATTTTTACAGAGAGCACATTAAATAGCTCACCTGAATTATAATCGATGTTGTAGTATTTGGGTTAACAGTCAAAATACAAATGCTCTGCAGAGTTCTCTTCAATATCATCTCATATTCCTTTTCCAGTTTTCCTAAACACCATGGTAGACATTTCGAAAAATTCCCAACATGCCAAACTTCAAATGCAAGAATAATTGAAAGGGTTTTTTTTAAAGAAATTACCAGTCTGTCCTGTTTTAGGCTTCCAAATAACTTCAATGCAAGCTTTCTCAGGGTTCTCATTCTTTCTTGTTCCAGCTTTAGGCCCGTAAACAGCAGCGAGTACTTTCGTGTCTCCTAAACAAAAATAACACCAAAAAACCAAACAAAAACAGATTTATAATCGAAATTATGATTTCCCAACAAAAACATTTCGCCAAAGAAATACCTTGATACCAACTGGCGGAGCCATGAGCACGATGGAGAACGTTTCGGGAACAGGCGAGAGGTCTCAACTGGTTCTGCGTGCGTCCGTCTTCCCTATCCACCTCCATCGCTCTCTCACGCTCAATAAACAAGCTCGTTTATCTCGAGATTTACGTTAATCAAGTAACGATTAAGGAAATGGGATTTCAAATAGCGAATTGCAGACACATTCCAACTGCGAGAGAAAACAAATGTTGTTTGTGGAAAAGGGTTTTGGGATTAGGGTTTAAGAAATTTGGTCCTTTTTCTTAAATTATTTTTGGTTGCGGCAACGTAACGGTGGCAATTGATCGGGCTGTCGGGTCAATAAACCAGTGCAAGGGTATGCATTTTCCGCTTGGTTAAAGTTTTTGGTGGAAAGTTTTAATTGGGATTTTTTTTTATGAAAAGTCTTTTTAGTTTTTTATTTTTAACGCAAAAGGAATGAAATTTCAATTTGGAAAATAAAATTTAAAGGTTTATATTTAATATACTACTATTGATTACATTATTACTTAATAATTGTGATAATTTATTTTATATTATATGTAATTTGTAAATGTAATTATTAAGATTTATACAATTATTAATAACTTTAATTTATATTTTTTACGATAACGTGGGCTAAGTTCAAAACTTAACTAAATTAGTAGTGTTTAGACTGAGATCATTATAATTGAAATAAGAACATATATCAGTAGGATATGGGTTCTTATATTGCACTAAAGACAATTTAGGTCCATGAAGTGGATTTTGATTGTTGTCATGACATTTGATTTTAAAAATGATATTAAAGATTTAAGTAGGTGAGATTATAATGCAACATCTCATATCAAATTAAAATGTAATTGTTAAACTTATATAATATTTAAGTCGATCATTGCTATAATTTAAAAGTTATATGTGAAAATGTAAAATAAACATATAAAAATAAATATGTAATGTGATTTTTAAATTTATTTATTAATAAGATAGTAACATTTAATGCACTAATGGTGTATAAAATCATACACTAATAATACATTAAATATAAATTTTAATATTTAATTAATAATTAAATAAAATATATTTTCCAATAATAATTGCTACTAAAAAATTCAAGAACATGGGATGAATAAGTAATTAATTTCCACAACTTCACCCATCCGAACTAAGCTAATTAAATATGAGTTATGTGACACAAGTTTTTATACATAATTTTAAGGTAATAATGTTAAAATTTGTAAACTTAAACCTCAAAAAGTAGCGAAGGGAGGTGAGAAATCAACACATATATATTATTAAAAGATGTTCTTAAAACTAACCAAAAAAAATAAGAAAAAATTCTTTCTAATAACATGGCCAGGAAATATTCTATTCTAGTGGCTAGCATTCAAATTAATTAATTAACAGGGAAAAAATGAAAAATAAAAATTGTTTGGCATCAATTAATAATAAAAATTGAATCCTTTGTAGATATGCGTGCTGGTGGTGATGGCGGCAGGGTACCCTACGATTTATTTTTACAAAATTTTAATGTGAGTTCCTTTGTATTCTTGTATGATAAGAACAAAAAAGGTGATAATGCATTGTCATGTAAGTAGGTCATTGGTTAACGTAGTATTCCTTATCTGAAAAAAATATGATGCGAATCTCCCTCCTCTCTATTAAAAAAAATTTAATGATGCCGACGTATGGGACCACATGCAAGTAAACAAAATTTTGTAGATGATGTTGTAATTGTAAGTTCACGGCCATGAACCGTGAAGCCACCGCTCGAGAAGAAAATTCAAAAGAGATTTAAATCATAACCACAATGGTATGGGGTCAACATCGTTATTGGCAGGCAAAGGGATATAATTGAGGGAATTTCAGCCTACACCTTCGCTGTCTATGCTTCACGTTTTGCTCATGGCTCGTGACGCTCACTGCCTCAACCGTTAACGGCATCTTTGCCTTAACACCGTTCTCCATCAATTGAGATTGCAAACGTGGCTTATGATACACGCTCAAGCTTATTTTGTTAATTAGAACAGAAGAAAAATTTAAGGAAGATAATATTATATAAGGAATTGTGTATATGAAAAAACATGATCCAATAGAATTACATGGAACAGAACTTATTAAGATTATCAAAGATAAATTAAAAATATTTTAATTTAGTAAAATATTTTTAATCGTAATTACATAAAGATTTACTAGTTTATAAAATGAATATTCTGTCTTAATCAATTAAATAGTATTAATATTTAAATTAAAATATCTAAAATATCCTTTTTATTTTTTTATAATTTTTTAAAGATCAATTAATGTTCTTTACTTCGATCGATCATCTTGTGCCCAGATTTGATTCAAATCTAGCCTAATTTTTAGGGAACATTAGATATGTACTCATTATATTATATATAATATGATAATTTTTAAATTGATGAAGTGTCAAATTATTTTTTTAATATTATTATATCATAAAACTAATAGAAATGGTAATATTAGACTAACGGATAAACTTATATATCAAACAAAAAATATTCTTTTAAGATAGATTGTTAATTTTAAAAATTAATGAATTCATACAGAATTATAATTAACAGTTAAAAAGGTAAAATATTTATCGTATTATTATAAAATATATGTATTTCGTGAATGAAAACATGAAAATGTGATAATTGTAGTTATGAGTTGCATTTTTACTGATTGTTCTCATCCTAAATATCTCATCAATTCTCAATAGGTAATAGTTTAAAATTTTTTATTGAGAAAAAATAAATAAAAATTTAACAATCATAAAATTTAGATTTAATGTAATTTATAATATGGTATTATTACAATATAAAAGATTTATCTAGAGTCTTTTTAATATATGTAAAATATTTTTTTACCTTATAGTGGATTCAATCATATTTCTTAAAATTTGAGCACTAAATTTTTATGTTCAAAAGTTTTGAATTTTCCTTTATAAAAGAAAGATAGAAAAGAAAAAAGCTTTGAGAAAAAGTTCAAACGGACTACGGACACAGGGTCCGTCACGTTGGGAAAGAATTACGGCAGCGCCAAATGCGCTGCGCGTGGACTAAAAGTGTCGGGTAAGAAGTCAAAAAGTCAGTTGGCTAATACGTAATATCGGAATAGACGGCTGTCCTTTCTCGTCCGAGAAGATTGATACCAGTAATAAAAGCTTAGCGTCCAACGCACACAAATTCACCGTTTTCAACATCTTGGTAAAGCGGGTAAGGTAAAACAGAAGCTGCGGGGAACGGTAGAAGCCTCAAAATTCCCATGCAAACCCCCTATGCAGATCCACCAAATCTAGAAATTCACTGTTTGGCTGCTAAGAAATCTTCATAAAAGGATAAAAAGAAAAGAAGACAAAGTAAAGAGAAAGAAGATTCCTTCTTTAGTTTTAAACGTGTAATTACAACTGTCCACCTCCCGGAAAAAAATTCCCTGCTTCTTTTTGATTCTCTGTTTTTTTTTCCATTCGCTCTCGGATTGGAGAATTTCGTTTCCCTCATTTGTTTCTTGTCAACCAAACAGAAGAATGAGAGTTCGACGAGCGAAAACCGTAAGCGTTTCTTTCTCCGTCGTTTTAGTTGATTAATGAGTTTCCGGTTGTTTTGTCATTTCTCTCTGTATTTTCTGGATTGTTGCATGTTTGATTAATGGAGAAAACTAGCCTTAGCTCGATCCTTTAAGGTTCCAAATACGAATCGGTCTTAAGTTTCTCTTTGCAGTTAAAAGTTATTGTTCTTGATTAAATCGTTTTTTTGACCATGCAACTAAGCTTATTATTCTTCTCTAGTTAATCTTTGTAACAATTTGGCTTGTTTAGAAAAATTTTAAGTAGAAAATCAAGTAATATTTAGCACATTCCTTAGCTTTTTTTTCTTAGATTATGTTTTTGTTTTGAGCTTTCTAAATTGTTGAATATTTTTGCTAGCTGATAAGTTAACTGCTAAAATAGATATAGAATTCTTAACTATGCTGATTTCTTTTCTTGATAAGTGTCTCTTATAAGTTTTTTGAGTCATTTTTGTGCTGAGATTGAGTTAGGTTTATGGATTAGTAAAAGAGTTTCATTCTGACTAAATCCAGGGTCTGGGAAACACAATGCAGGGATGATATTTAGCATTGGAACTCAGTTCACAATCGGCAGAGTGGTTTCTCAATGGGGCATGAACTCAAATCTTTGTTTCAATTAGATACCAGGAAATTGATATGGCTTATAGGAATAACATTTGTTGTGATTATAACATTCCAGTATCTTGAACTACCGTATGGGAATGTTCTGTCGACTTTATTTCCTTCTGGTAAGGTTTCAGTTGAGGGACAAAGTAGTTTTTTAGCTAGTGGTCCATCATCAGCTGAGGCAGATATGGCACATAATGTGACTCATTTGATTGGTTTGGACAACAATGGTACACATGCTGCTAATGAAATGGTTCATGATAACGAATTCTCTAAAGGAAATGACACAGATTTGAATAATGATGTTATATCAGAAACAGATGTGGGCTTGAATAAATCTTCTACATTTGATGAAGGTAGTGAATCACAAAAGGAGACATCAACTGGGGAGTTGGTAGAAATAAGTAAGAATTCAACAGTGGGCTACGCTGAAAGCTCCAAGAATAAGACTATAGCAGAGGAGGATGGTGATCTCTCATGGCAGTCCGAGGAGGAAGGTAACTTGACAAGTTTAAATAGTTTTAACCAAACCGGTGCTGCTAATAAAACACCTAGTGATTTTGGGACCCCTGAAGGAAACAAAGATCAGAATAATGTTATCATATCAGAAGGAGAAATAGGCTTGAATAGAACTTCTATATTAGATGAGGATAGCACTTCTTCTAGGGAGTCTTCAACTGAGGAATTTGTGGACTTAAACAAAAATTCCACCATGGACTTTGCTGAAAGTTTCAATAAGACTGTAGCTGAGGAGGCCAGCAAAACTGAGGAAAGCTTTTCTGTAAAGAATGATACCGGTGATGTTAACACTTCAAACAACAATATTGGGAACGGAAATATTACTTTATCAGCAGAAAGTACAGAGTCTTCAGATTCTGGTCTTGGATCTCCTTTGCCTGCCTTAACCCCAACAAATTCGTCAACTAACAAGACCTTAGAAAAAGATGTTGAGACAAATATCCAGATTCCTGTTGTGTCTGTCAATGCCAGTATATCTTCACTGGAGCAACATGTGACACCAAGTTTTGACAAGAATGAAAAGGTGGAAGAGATTCAGAACAATTTCACCACATCAAGTGATAACTCTTCTCCCACCAATACTCCTGAGGTGGAGAAAAAGCCTGAGATGCCACCTGCACTAACTACAATAGCTGATATGAACAATTTGTTTTATCAGAGTCACGTTTCATATTATTCAAAGGTATGTTCAAACCTTTCCTTTTTTTTATTTCTAAGGAATTAATTTAGTTCTAACTTCAAAGTTTCTTTCTATCTCCATTTGTTTCTAGACACCAAGATGGTCTTCAGGAGCAGACCAAGTACTACTAAATGCAAGATCACAGATCGAGAATGCACCCATCATAAAGAATGATCCGCGACTTTATGCGCCTCTTTTTCGGAATGTTTCTATGTTCAAAAGGTAGGTTATGATGCCATTTTCTTTGTCGTTTTTAATCACTACACCCAAAGGTCACTATATTAAAAGGTCTTACAAGGAAAAACAGAGTACTGGGTGAGTTGAGAATGGTAAAATGGATATATGCAATTACAAGAAAAGAAAGAAATAAATTCATTCAAAAGAGAAGTGGAAGTAGCCAATCAAGTCTACACGGAGTGAAGGATCTTTAATCTTTAGAGCATCTGCAATGTAGTTGCAGGGATGTCCCAAAATGGTTAGCAATGTAGAAGGAAATAAAGAAAATTAAGAATTAGACTAAATTCATGACAATACTATTAGTCAAGGAGGAGTAAATTTTTGCAGACAGTTCAAGAAGAGTTTGAAGTGAGCTTGCATAGTGGAGGAAAAGGATTCTTGTGTTGACCTTCTTAGTTTGGGATAAAAACTTGATAAGTTTAAGTTTATATCTGTAATATTTTTTTCCTTAAAATTATGGGAATGGGCTCTCAATATATAATATTCAACTGAAAAAATGTGAGCTTAGACAATCTTATCCTTACCTTTTGCCTTTAGTCAGCAATAACCCTATGATTTGTTCCTTTGAACTATTGAATAGTCTGATAGAATGCTGCATGTCGGAAACCACCATTTCTTAAAGTAGTTTTGTTGTTTCTGACTTTTCTTCTTTTTCTTTTGCCATGCTAATAATGGTAAAAGTGGTTCATATTTCTTTCTAACCTAGCTATTTTAATTGGCCGAGTAAGTTTGGGAAAAAGGGAAACAAGGGATCCTTTAGTGGAAATAAGTAGTTCAAGTTTTCTACTAAATGGTATGATTCAATGCAAAGAAGAATTTCATTGCAATGATTGTTAATTATTTTGTGGTAAAACAAATTAGTACTGCTACTCTAGTCAAGTGCATAATGTTTATACAATTTACATCACAATTTCAGGAGCTATGAGTTGATGGAAAGCACACTCAAAGTATACGTCTACAAGGAAGGAAAAAGGCCCATAGTACATACACCGGTTCTGAAGGGTATTTATGCCTCTGAAGGATGGTTCATGAAGCAGCTGGAAGCTAATAAAAAATTTGTTACTAACAACCCAAGAGAAGCCCACTTGTTTTACTTACCTTTTAGTTCTAGAATGCTAGAGGAGACCTTATATGTGCCTAATTCTCACAATCATAAAAACCTTATAGAGTATTTGAAGAACTATGTGGGCATGATTGCAGCAAAATATCCTTTCTGGAACAGAACTGAAGGAGCTGATCATTTTCTTGTTGCTTGCCACGACTGGGTATGCTTTTTATGCTTCTTGGGTTTGCCATTACATTCTTTCAGGTGTTTGAAGCTGTTCATAAATTTCAAATAATCCATTTATTTTACTTAGCAATAGCATTTGAAATAATTTAATTTTCATGCAATTTGAAATGAATTGAGCTATTTTACTTTGTTATTTCTGGGAAGTTATCACCCTAACTTCTCTACTGCTTTTATCTTGACCGCTGTATCATTACACATATATTTGCCTTTATTTGTGTGCATGCATGTGAATGGCTGCTTATTTTCATTTTTCTCTTTAGAGGGAGCGATGGGTTGATATTTTACATATTATGATATGATGATTCTCAGTTTTTCCTGGCAGTATCTTATAATAAACACTACTTTCTCAGGCACCATCTGAAACAAGGAAACACATGGCCAATTGCATTAGAGCCCTCTGCAATTCCGACATTAGAGAAGGTTACATATTTGGCAAGGATGTGTCTCTTCCTGAGACCTATGTTCGGAATCCTCAGAAACCTCTCAGAGACCTTGGAGGCAAACCTCCTTCTAAAAGATCAATCCTGGCTTTCTTTGCAGGAAGCATGCATGGTTATTTAAGGCCAATTCTGTTAGAACAGTGGGGAAACAAAGATCCTGACATGAAAATCTTTGGTAGAATGCCTAACGTTAAGGGGAAAATGAACTACATCCAGCACATGAAGAGCAGCAAGTACTGCATTTGTCCAAGAGGTTACGAGGTTAATAGCCCACGAGTGGTAGAGGCCATTTTCTATGAATGTGTACCAGTGATCATATCTGACAATTTTGTGCCTCCTTTTTTCGAGGTTTTGAATTGGGAATCCTTTGCTGTCTTTGTTCTGGAGAAGGATATTCCTAATTTGAGGAAGATCCTCCTATCGATCCCTGAGAAGAGGTACCGGCAGATGCAGCTGAGGGTCAAAAAGATACAGCAGCATTTTCTTTGGCATCCCAGACCTGAGAAGTATGATATATTTCATATGATTCTCCACTCAGTTTGGTACAATAGAGTTTTCCAAATGAAACCGAGGTAAGTAAACAGAAGCTTTGGTAAATAGATGCTGAGATTTTCTTCTTTCTTTTCATTTTCATTGATAGAATAGGTTGAGCTATTTTAGTACAAAATCTGTTTCCACATTATTTTTGTTGTATACAAGAATGATTGAATAAAGTTACGCTGATGCTTTCCCCCCCGTGTGGGTTTAGCATCCAATACCACTCATTTGGAAAGCTTCCTCTTCAATGGTTTTCTTGAAATTTGTGGTAACCTTTTCATTTATAACTTCTGTCCGGATATATAATAGTAGTAATAATTTTAGTAAAGGCACAAGGTCCGATCCTAAAATTCCTATCATGTGAAGTGCTTCAAATTTTGAAGCGAAAGAAGAAGTATCGATCTCACATCTAATAAGCACGTTTATAGTTTTTTTTTAATCCGAGTACCTCATCATTTGCTTCATAAGCATGTTTATAGTTTCGTGATAAAATGATATCAAATTAAATTCGATTTAAATTTGATTCACATTAAATATTTTAAAAAAATATATAAATAAATGATAGTATTGTTGAGTTAATTTCACATTAAATGTTTTAGAAGAAATAAATATGACTGTTTTAATTTCACATATAATAAATAAATTTTTTTTGAAAATTTATATTTAATCGAATTAATCTTTGATAAATAAGATAATGATTTTGTCATAGTTAAATAAAGAATTATAAATTTAATGTCCCTTAGCGTTTCATCTGGAAGCTCTTTAAAATTATCTTTTCCAAAACCAATGCCACCTGCCATTAATATCAGGCACACGCAACGTTACTAACAAAAAGCCTACTCACTCGGAATTTGGAAATAGAAAACATGAAAATGAAGAAAAAAAAAAAAAGAATACCATGAGAATTAGTGCACGTGTTGATTAGTCTGAGTCTATGGTACAAAAAGGAATATGAACAACAGAGACAACTGAAAATGGGAATTTTCTTCTGTCGTTTTCCAGTGAAACAAACAGGATATAAATTAAGCCTACAATCACGCAAGTCAAATCTCAATTGGCGCCACAGATACATAGAAACCTCTTTCTTAGTACTTATTCCAAAGGAATGGGCAGCAGGTTCAAATCCGTCCGGGAAAAAACTCATTTGTCGGTTCACTTCTATCCGGCTGAAACATATATATGCATGTGAGTTCAACTCTTACTTCATTCCTTTCTTCTTTTTCTTTTGTTTTCTACTCATGTTTCTTGATCTCCTTGAATTGGGAATTTCTTCTCCTATGGACATATGAAAAATACAGGTTCTTTTTGGCTATCTTATTCTTGGGTCATCTTGGATGATATGAGGCTAACTGTTCAGATGAACATGTCTCTTTTTCAGCTATTCTACTTGCTGGGTTGATAAGAAAATGTATGTAAATTACATGGAAATGATGAATTCTTTTTTCTTTTGGGAGATTTGAGATCCACTTTTTGGTTCTGTTTGCATTTATCTTTTAGGATCAGAAATTTTAAAAGCAAGAACTTTTGCTTTAACTTACTAAAAGCATTAATGCAGATTTGCCTCTTACTTACTTTATAGTTTAGTGCATTTAATACCTTATTCATAAATGCAAGTCTTGCATCTAATTTTAGGCGAAATCTCTTTTTTCTTTGAACTTCCTAAATGATACTCCTGCTTGCCACATTGTATATATATTCCCATTTTATTACCAAGTTGTGTTGCTACCAACCGGCAACCAATATAACTGCTTCTGTGCTTGGATTATATAGGTTCTTTTGTTGTGACGTGGATGGGAGTTTTTCGACTCCTATGTCAAGCAGAAAGCAGGAGGCTTCTCTTGCTGATGGCTATCACATTTGCTTTAGTTTTAGCAGTTCAATATTTTGAACTTCCATATACTGAAGTTTTCACATCTCTCTTTGCTGCTGGCAAGAATGGTAGCTTTCCAACTGGTTGGTCATCATCAAAGTCTGGGATGTTTGATAATGTGACACTTTCAAACGGTTTAAACTCTACTCATAATTATGCAGATAATGATACAGAAAATGGTACAGCAGTCTTAAATATAGACATAGAAACTGCTCAAGGAAATGAATCTGAAGAAAAAGACAGAGATCTCAAGAATGTATATGTATCAGAAAGCAATGAAGGTTCAAATAATTCTTTTGGCTTACTTTTTAATGGATCTTCATCAGACACTCTTATAGCTTCGAGTATAAGCTCCACAATGGAGAATGGTGACAATGTAGTAAATGCTCCTGTCTTACATGCAACACCAGAGCAGCAGAATGTTACTCAAGATTATAATGCTTCAACCAGTAGTGGAAGCTTTGGTCGTGATTTTGCAGCACCTGCATCACCACCATTGAAGTCACCATCCATTCTTCCAGATACAAAATTAAGAAGCAATATGTCATCTGTGAACACATCATCGGTGGGCAAAAATACCACAATTTTGCCTGAAAAGCATGAAGATCCCAATTTCCTCATTAGCACTCCTGTATCTGGAAATGTTTATTCTGAAAATACAGTTCCTGCAGTAACGAAGAAAGGATCCAAGAAGCCTAAAATGAAGTCCAAGAAGCAACCACAGATTGTTGTCTCAATATCTGAGATGAATGATCTGTTGTTACAGAGTCATACTTCACCCCATTCAGTGGTATGTATATACTTATATCTGGATTGATTGGTTTTGCATTGAAGTCAATGTGAAATTCTTCTTAACTTACTTTACTTCCTGCTATGTATTGCTTATAGGCACCACCACTGTCCTCAAAGGTACAGCAGGAAGTAATTTTTGCAAAATCACAGATTATGCATGCACCTGTAATGACAAATGATTCTGGACTTCACCCATCTCTGTATCGTAATGTTTCCATGTTTAAAAGGTATACCTTGTTCCAACTTTTGATAGGAGATTCCCATTTAATTTGTTTTCACTCAGATTTGTTTTGTCAAATGCATAAGAGAACTTTACCATCTATGTTTGTTACTTTGTTGAAGATTAGGATGTACAGCCAGCCTTTGTGGATCCAGTATGTTAAAAGTATTGTAATTTTGTTGTTCATCAATGCATTTGTTTCGTTATTAAAAGGATGTCATACTTTGCAGGAGTTATGAACTTATGGAGAATATACTCAAGGTTTACATCTACCAAGAGGGAGAAAAACCCATTTTCCATCAAGGAATACTTGAAGGTATATATGCCTCTGAAGGATGGTTCATAAAGCTCTTGGAAGCCAATAAAAATTTTGTCACTAAAGACCCTCAAAAAGCTCACTTATTTTTTTTACCATTTAGTTCTCGGTTGCTAGAATTAACACTTTATGTACGCAATTCACACAGTCGAAACAATTTAATTCAGTACATGAGAAACTATGTAGACATGATTGCAGCAAAACATCCTTTCTGGAACAGAACCGGTGGAGCAGATCATTTTCTTGTTGCTTGTCATGACTGGGTATGCTTTTTCCATTCTACTTATTGCCATCAGTTATACTTATACGAGGCATCTTGACATCTATATGTATCCAGACTGCCGTAGTTTGTATAATGTGCAAAACATACTGTTTTTGTTGTGCATAAATGGCTATTTGAAAGATCTGATGTTTGCCTCAAACATGATGGTTTTGATGTTCACCTCGCATAACATAGTAGATGATCTCCTTCCACATGCATCTTCCTTTTAAGGGGTAACATCTTTTTCCTAAAGAGTTCTCTGTTTTCTAGTCATTATTTCATAAAGTATGGGAAACTTTTTGATGCTCAAACCTAAACTAGTCTGACAGTTGAGAGACCAATTGAGCATTAAAACTGTATAGTATAGCTTACATTGTAAGTAAAGCTACATAGATTATTTCCCATTGCATTTTCAGCTTCTAATCCCCTTCCCTCTTTTAAAGTGGAAACTCTATAAGAAACTCTATTTTCTCAGGCTCCTGCTGAAACAAGGGGACGTTTTCTCAACAGCATCAGAGCACTCTGCAATGCGGATATTGGAGTAGGCTTTACCATAGGCAAGGATGTTTCTCTTCCCGAAACATACGTGCATTCAGCTAAGGACCCTCAGAAAAGCCAGGGAGGCAACCCTTCTTCCCAGAGGCATATCCTTGCTTTCTTTGCAGGGAACATGCATGGTTATGTGAGACCAGTTTTATTGAACTATTGGCGAAATGACCCTGACATGAAAATCTTTGGCCCCATGCCTCATGTGAAGGGCAACATTAACTATATTGAGCATATGAAGAGCAGTAAGTTCTGCATATGTGCAAGAGGTCATGAAGTGAATAGCCCTTGAGTCGTGGAAGCTATATTCTATGAGTGTGTTCCTGTTATAATATCTGACAACTTTGTGCCACCCCTTTTTGAGGTTCTACACTGGGAATCCTTTGCTGTTTTCATCTTGGAGAAGGATATCCCAAGCTTAAAGAACGTACTCCTTTCCATCTCAGAGGAGAGGTACGTGGAGATGCATAATAGAGTGAAAATGGTGCAACAACATTTTCTTTGGCATGCTGAGCCTGTAAAATATGATTTGTTTCATATGATTCTTCACTCCATTTGGTATAATAGAGTTTTCCAAACAAGAACAGCATAGATTTGTTGTTTCATGTTCTGACCTTGTGTAAACTTGTCTTTCTTAAATATAGAGTTAACAGGTCAAACCAGAGCAAATTTGATTGTTGATTTGCATTTTTCAAAATTGTACTCTGGCATATAAATTTTCCTAATAATTTATGAAAAACAGAGTAAATTTTATGTATCACGGGTCTACACTTTTAATTTTTATTTCTAATTATGTAACAAAAAATATAAATTTTAAAACTCTAACTCCAAAAAATGATTCATTTTGATTTGAATTTATTTCGATTTGGTCATCTCTCGTGGTAATATCAACTGCTACGGTAAACTCTTGTTATACAGCACAAATGGAGAATTGCCAGGAAACGGCACAAGATTTTACGTTCTTATAATGCCAAAGTTTGGTTAAAGGTCTATGATCTTTTTCCAGCGAAACCCACGGTTGCCCAGCACGTGTCCCAACCAAACACTATCTAGTGACGTGTCCCAACCGTCCGTTACTTGGAAGTCAGTGCAAAGGATAAATATGTAAAAGCGAAAAAAACGGTACGAGAAAGAGATGAAGGTGAAGGGAATAAAGGTTATTGAACTGACTGTTGAAGCCCCGCCCACCACCTCCCTTCAAGGCATATTCATGGGGGTACCACAAGGGTACTAAAGTAATTCCAGTTAACTGCTTCCTCCTAAGTGAAAAGCTCTGCTTTCTTTAGTTGATGGGCATGTAAGAATTGACAACCTTAAAAAGCCGTTAAACGGCAATAGCAAGCTAAGGTTTCAACATTTTTATTTTTATTTTTTCTTCATATCTATTATCTACCTAATTTTTTATTTTTTTTTATTTTTTAACATTTGATAATTTAAGAGGCCAAAAGTATTAACAGATTCTTCAATGAAAGCCAGAAGAAGAAGATAAAAGAATTGATTAGATCAGGTTAGCAAATTAGCAAAGAATTGAAAATCTGATAAATAAGAAAATTTCTGGAAATGACAACAGAGACCAAATCCAATTTAGTTAAGGTCAAGACCAGCGGTCAAGATGGCTCTTCAAAGGGCAAGTTTGATGCTGCTATGAATAGGAAGAAGACTGAAAGCTCCAGCAAACAGCCTCCTGTTGATTCGAAGAAGAAATCTGTGTCAACTGTCATAACAAAAACAGAGGTGTGCCCATCTCACACAGTTCCTTGTTAACTTCAACTCATTTAGATTTGTTTGCGTTTTTATTGATTGGTTTCTCAATTTGGTGATTTGGGTTTCATTATTTTTCTCTTTCAATTGTTAGTTTCTATGTTTGGTTTTGCTTATCTGTTTGTAAATTTTTAATGACTGATTAGTTGATCTGGATTTGGCATGTGCTATAATTTGGATGATTCTGGTATGGGTTTTTTGATCAATGAATTTAATTATTCTGTGATGAATTGAGAGATTTAAAGTTCTTTCTCTCTGTATTTTGGTTATAGACATCTAAAAGTTTACCTCTTTTCTCGCAAGATGCATGAATTTCTTAGTTTTTTTTTTTATAAATTTTGAAGGTAAAATCGAAAGCAAGTTCAAGTTCTTCGAAAACCACCACAACCACAAAAACTAAAGTTAGGGAGAAGAAGGTTTATATTCTGCCTGGCCAGAAACATGACCCTCCTGAAGAGGTTCTCCTCATATAATCTCAAATCTTTGCTTTCGTCCTGAAAGATGTCTCTAATAATTGATGTTACTCAATGCTTTTCTTGACAGAGAGAGCCGTTACGAATATTTTATGAGTCTTTGTCGAAACAGATACCAACAAGTGAAATGGCAGAATTTTGGTGAGGCTTCCTTCGTCTAATAATACTTCTTGCTTATTGTTTATAACTTTATAAAGATCACAAGAAACGAAAATCTGCAGTCCTGGAAATTGTTTAACTGCTCAAGTCTTAAATCATGAAGGTCAACTAGTTTTGTTTCCAGTACCTGTTTGAGGTTTCTTTTGTTGGAGAGAGTCCCTGCCTCCCTGGTAACAATGTAGGAAATTTTTATTCATTAGAAAGGGAATCCTTGAACCACTTGCATCTTTCTCAGTCATGCCTATTCATCTGCTTGATGCGTTGTCAAGTGGAGCTTAGATTGTGTTGCAATCATCCTCTATCTTTGGATAGTGGAAGTTCAATTCGTTTATGTGATGATGCATAGTAGTTTGGTTATTAGGATAATTACTATGTTATAAGCTTTCCTTGGTTTGATCTGAATGAAAACAATTAATTTATCTGCATAAAGTGAACTTCACATCTCTTAAGTGCATAATTGAGTATTTTCTACCTACAATGGCCAATAGGGATCTCCTCAATGTAACACACAGAAGTAACTTCTGATATATATGTGCTTAACCGATGTTTTCTCGGTCGTATTTGAGGACAGAAATGGCAACTTTGTAGGTAACTTAGATAGAAAATATGCTGGTTAATCAGAAGCTAAAGTTATGACTTTGCTGTTCATTAATTCACTAGCTTTTAAGTGCCAGAGAATTGACTTGTGATGCATGTGACAAGAGATATGAAAAGAATGGAAGTAGTCTACGTAAATCTATCTCTCTCCCTACTGTTATTAATAAGTACCAAAGAAAAATAGTTTTGTTGCTTCTTTCCAGTGTTTCATGCTAAGTGATGATTATATTGTTACTTGTCTTAATGTCCATGCTTTGAGCAAAAAATGCAAAGGTCCCTGCATGTTGGGCCAATTTCTATCCAAAAAATTTGGGAGGCAAAAGTGGCACTGGGGTGAGGAGGAAAATATGATGTATGAATATTATTTTCCCAGTGGCAACCTTTTTAATATAGCCATTCTCTGGGGTACAGAGAGGGAAGATTCTTTCATTTGTGCTAATAGAAAGGCCAATTCTTTTTCTAAGGAAAGTGCTTCTCAGGTCTCTTCTGGATTGGTCTACAATCCTCTTTTGCATTGCAGTTGTCTGTGAAGGAAGAAAATTTTCTTTCGGATTGAAAATCTCTAGCTTCGTCTTTTCAAACAAGATTTGGGGTGTAGAACGGAATCAAATTCTTTGTTGGTACTCTGGTGAAAATTAGGATGGGTGGAGAAAACAAGGGCAATGAGGAAGTAAAAGGGCTGTCAATTGGAGACGTAACTTGAGATAAGGCTCAAGTTTGTTGCCCACACCTTAGCAGAGAAAGGAAGCCTTTAGACTATCCTGAGTTGATGCTTCAATTGTTTAGCCAGCCCTTTCATGCACAAATCCTATCACCGTGTTAGAAGAGAGGAAATTGGAGATTGATGGGGCCTAAAGGAGTAGTTGGAGAAAATTTTGATGGTTTCCATTTAAATGGGAAACAAAAATGGATGACCTCCTCTGATAGGGCTGATGTATCAGATACATATGGAGGTAGTGGCGTGTTTGCTAGCCCAGGAAAGGTAGACTCTGAACCACCGTATTTGTTTATGATCGTATTCCAAACACACATAAAGGTTGTTGGAGATCATTGCACTGGGCATGAGAACATTGCTTGGGAATAGAACAATGAGTCTTAAGTCTTGCAGCAGCATTCTTTTCTTCTCTGTCAAAAAGAGGAATTGATAACTAAAAGTGGCTTTAGCATATTAAGTCAAGTCTGAAGCCGTTGTCTCATATATATGCCTTCTCTAGCTACTGTCATTATTCTCTTTTGTTTGCTAACATCTAAACAGTGAAATATGCTATCTCTGAAATGCAAGATAGATTCAGTTAATTACCACTGTTATGTATATGTCTTAATAGGCAGAAACCACCAGAATGGAAGAAACGTTCTGAAAAATGGTTCATATTTTCTGTGAAAGGCTCAATCTATGCTTACCAGATAGCCTTTGGTGATGTACAATGAATCCTTAAGGAAAGAAAAATATTCCATTTCTTCAGGGACCACAGAGGTTCTTGCTCCAAGCTTTCTGGTGAAACTAAGCGTGGCATCATGAAAGTGCCTGCCAAAGCAAGGCTTTCTGTATTTTAGGCAGCCTGTGGCTATCTAAACAAAAATCTGTCATTTCAGCCTAATTAATGAACAGCATTGGTGCCATAATTGGCTTGTTAAAGTTTAAACTCGTGGTATATTGTTTTCTGAGCTTTTAATTATGCCGGTTACTTCATTCTTGTTAGCCTTAAAAGGCAAAGGGATGGCCATTTCAACTTCAAAACTTGAGGTCTTTGTCTGGACATATTATCCTTTCTTGCATTGGCAGCAGATGGGGAAAACCTGTTGTAACCTTTCCTAATTTCCCTTATATTTTCTGTTCCTATTCAGATTTAATGAACACTATTGGTGCCATCATTGGCTCCTTAAAGTTTAACCTCGTGGTAGTATTGGTTTCTGATCTATGGTTGCTGCTAAATACCAGAATTATCAGGGGAATTTTACTTAATTCCCTTGGTCCAGCATAGCATAGGTTTAATATCTTCTCTGTAATAACATTTTCAGTTTATTGAATGTAAGCACACAATTTTGTTGAATTACCCAGTTTGTGGGGATGATACATATGTTGGCAGTGTTTCTGCTCCAGTCCAACAATGTCACGGGTACTTTTTGGTCTCATAATTCCTTGGGTGCTAGGTATGGAGGATGGATAAAAAAGGAGTTCGTGTACCAGATACCTACTAAAGTTGATTTGAGTTAAGTTTAGTTCCCTGGCTGGACCCAATATATTGTGGATGTAACATTTGCTATGTATTTAGGTTGTGAAAGATATGTGCAAATGTTATGATATATTGCTCCTTTATAAACTGCATTCTTGGAGTTGGGTTCCCTTCAACATTAATGATAACACCAGATGTTTAGTCCCACAATAAATTGGTTAAAGGGGTCCATTTACTCTTTAAGGGTGTTGGGCCATTCCCCCTTTATTTTTTCCTTCTTTAAAATAATGTTAAAGAAATATTTCTAACTTCTGAATAGCACTTAAGTTATAAGAAGTAACATGGTTCAAATTTTCAGGATGATGGAACATGGCTTGTTGTCCCCTGAAAAAGCCAGAAAAGCATATGAGAAGAAGCAGAGAAGGCAGAAGGAACTCCGGACTGGCACTCCAATTAAATCTTCAAAACCAAGCAGCAAACCTGAGAGTTCACAGAAGCGGCAGCTGGCATCAAAGAATGGAGATGCAAAAGCGAAGAAAAGAATCAACATTGATATTGATGATGATGACGACAACTTCATTTTAAGTCCCAAGAGAAGGAAAGGGTAAGAGAAAAAGAGCTCCCCCAGTGTTTGCAGTGCTGTATTTATAGGAATCACTTTATTTAAATTCCTTTCACAATTAACCGCAAAACGGCTGGCATTGTGAAAACACTAAAAATAATATATTAAGACATTCTTTATATTTTCTAACTTATGGAAATTATAAGCAAGGACAAGTTCCTGACATGTTTGGTGCATGCTTTTATGTTTTATGATGTGAAGATCTGATTTCATGTGGCTGACATACATGCTCAAGGAAAAAAAGGCATCAAATCATGCTTGCAATTCACTCTAATTTGAACTTTTAAGATGTTTTGAGTTTGTTTTGTCATTTTAGGACAATATTTTCATTGCAGAACTCACCATCTAAATTGGACCGTGCTGAGTTTAGCCATATCTGTGAGCCTGACCCAGAAACCCTAGCCTTCAGTGCTAGCCGTTTAATCTGCAACTGTAAGAACACAAGTTTTAAGGTGGCTCTGGCCCATGTATGCATGTATGCATAAATATCCTGGTCATTATTTCTCTTTGGCTCTATCATTGGAAGATGAGGAGATTGTTACATGACAACTATCCGACTGGACTTTCTTCTACACATCAGAAAGGCCAGGAACATATTTTATGAATATTTCTATAGAAAATACTTCTGGAAATCTCATTTGTTAGCTAAGCAGTCGCAGTGGATAAACTAAAGGTGGTTTATCTAATTAGTTAGACATTTGAGTAGAATGGCCAACAATATACTGGACACTGACAATATCTTTGATAAGTAGAGGACAGATAACTAGGCCGGACTAAATTTTGACAATAGGACAAACTATTGAAAGCTATTGGAGTGCAAAGCCCCTATTTCATTTATTTCTGACAATGTGTATGTGAAGATCATCATCTGTTTTACGTTCACACAGCAGCATATAGCAATCGTATTCCAACAAAAGAAAAACCTCGAAGACCATCAAGATGGCATTATGGAGCTCGCCGAAAGAAGCACCTAGTTTCTTAATGCCACACTGGCAGGTAAGACAGAGCAGTCATGCTTCAAGTAGATAAATTGAAGAGTCTTCTGAGTGCAGCCACATGAATTGAACATGAAACCTAGATTAATGGTGATTATAAATGAAGAAGTATGCTTGATCAGGTCCCACACTTGCTATATTTATGATGAATGTTTAGATTTGAAGCTGCATATCCTCCATGTATGGGCTGTGTGTTTAAAGACCAGCCTGCACAAGTCTGGTTACACGAGCAGCATGTGAATTAACAGATTTGTTCAATATGAAGATTACCAGAGACATAGCTGATCTTGGTTATTCAAGTCCCACTTGCTATGCATAGCATTAATGAATACAACAAAGTTATGTAACTTGAATCATCTGTGTATGGGCAATGCATGTGACAAACTATCGGTGAAGCTGCATGATTCAGACCATAGACATCGGTCTTCTCTCGTCTGACTCTAATGCAGTGCACCAGCTATTAAGGATTGCCAAAAGCAGAAAGCTTTTTTTATTGTGGACGCAAGGTGGACAAAACTTTTGTGTATGATTACAGAGTAGGGATCCGGCTGGCCAGTATTTAAGTCTGGTAAACAACTACATCACTTCAGGTTAAAAGGAAAAAGACTGACTACATAAAGAAAGAACTTTATAACCATGTCAGGATACTCCCAGATTTTGTTGAATAATTATGAACATAATTATGGTTGAATACCTCACTTGTAGGACGCAAGAATTTGAGGGATTTGACACTCCAGACTGTTTGAGTGGCTGTCAATTGTGAATGATTATTGCAGAGTATAGGAAAAACAGTTATAAAGTTTCTGAAGACGTTAGATGCAGGAAGCACCACCACATTCATGAAGGAGCCATGAATGTTCACAAGTGGCAGTCTGGGCAGAGGGATTCTGATTAAAGAAATTGGTTTTGGGGATCCAAAAACACCTACTCGTGAGACAGCTAGGGCTGCAAATACCTGGGTTATGGACAAGAATCTTTTGTCGTCTATTCTGATTGTGGCCCAACAATTTAGTAGAACTTCACAGGTAATGCTGTTATTTTCTTTTGATCATTGACTACTCCTTAAGAGTTTATGCAACTTGGCAACAATCTGCCACACCCACCTTCTTACCTCTTCAGTTCATGCTTACCAAAAAATCAATCCTTTCAACGAATTTGGGGAATCCAAACCATGAATGAACTGTTAAAAGCTAACTGGAGCAGCTTCATCAAAGTTTTGTAAGTTTGCAATTGTTTCCATTATGACATGCTGCTGTAAAAAACAAAAACCTTCTCTCCTCCTAGGACCCCAACAGGAAAAAGAAAAGAGAATCAAACAACATACTACTTAGATCACTAAGTAAGCTGGTGTTAATGTGATCATTCATTTCATTTTTGCACAAATACACAGAAAATTCATCCAAAAAAAAACAAAAACAAAAACTCTTATTATTGGTGCATTTGGCCGCCAACACAAACTGGTCGCTAGACAAAAATGTTATCATCATTATGAAAGAGCCAAATAAATACAGTAAAAAGCTAAATGTACGTGAGTCATTTATACATTTCCCAGTGTACAAACAATGGCACGATCTGCTGTCTCATAAATAGAGTTTTGACCATTTTCACAAAAACCAGCTCACTGGTGAACATCAGAGTGGAGAGACTAGATAGAAACAAGATAATTAAATAACCCCATGAATATATGATGTCCTTTGGAAACACTCGGTCTTGTGCTGTCCTTCTGGTAATTAAGGTTTTACATCGTCTTCCTGTCTGAATCCGCAATCCTTCAACAACATCCATCACCCACCAAGCCAAAGGTGGACCTTCCTCACAAAAAACATTGAACACCACTTCAGAACTGGTTTCACAAGCAGTTTTGTGTCAAAAACAGTGAATGTACCGCATTCAAAACTCAATCTTACCAAAAGATCAATGTCTGCGGTACAAGCCATTTGATCATGAATTAAATCTCTATAACATATATGAAGCAGCTTCAGCTGCTGAGTGATGCCTGGTAAAAATATTTTCAAAGTTTGCCTTCCCGATGCCCCACCCTTAATCAGCTTGGCAGCGGAAAGTTAAAATGAAAGCCCCGCTGAGTTGATGGGTAATCGTCGTTTTCGCATTGATGACCAGCTCAGCTTTGCCCTTTCAATAATTGATGTTTGTTATGATCCCGAGCTTGCCAATGCCTCAAGGTGGCCCTATAATTTGTTCAAATTTCACACTGTTTTTTTACATCAGTTCATGGAAGATACAACAGCTAGCAGAATCAAACCAAACAAATTGAAGTCTTTCATGTGCAACTGTGCATGTATATGTCTATCTTTACATATGTATGTATGTATACAGGTGAAGGGAAAAGTGAAAATCCCAAAAGAAGTAGAAATGCCAGGATTTTTGAAAGTTGAATGAACTGCTCAGTCATTTTTATTTATCTTTTTTTATGGGTAATTAGATAAAGGCTAATTTATTTTTTAGTTTTGAAAATAACTATTTTTATAATTTTAACTATTTTTAATTAAGTTTAACAAAATTACTCTTAATGATGCTATAAATCATTACACGGTGTTACATGTCATGTTAAAAAAAAATTATTATTATTATACTACATTATATACAAAAATATATTACACGTTATAATTAAAAAAAGTTTTTACATATTATATTGAAAAAAAATTATTTTTACACGTTATGTACAAAAACATATTACACATTATAGTTAAAAAGGTTGTTACATTCCATATTGAAAAAAAATATTATTGTTACACGTCCTGTATAAAAATATTTTACACACCATGGTTAAAAAAAATTGTTACATACTATGTTGAAAAAAAATATTTTTATTACATGTAATATACAAAAATGTTACATATCATGTTAAAAAAATATTGTTGTTATTTCAAAAAAAAAAATTTTACACTTTAATGCTTAAAATATTGTTACTTACGAACTAAAACTTCAAATCCTCTCAACTCTCTTCATTTTTTTTTTACAATTTGACACCGATTAAAGTGTTTCTAACATATTTTCATAAACCAATACACAAATTTTTTTTTTAAAACACCTATATCGACTAAAAATTAAAAAAAATCCTTGGAAACCTTAGGTTTATAAATTTCAAATTCTTGAATTTATTGATGTCTAGGTCTCAAATTGATCTAATTAAAAACTATTTCAAGCATTTGTTATCATTTCTACAGTTTTAGTTTCATCCAAAATACCTAAAAATTAAATTTTTTAAAAACCACCAATTCTAAGCACATCAAAACCATCGCATGACGTCTTAAAAGCGCAAAAAAAAAATCGAGGGCATAACCAACGAATGTCTAAGAGAAAAATTGATAAAATTAAAAAGAGCTAGATGATAAAGAGAGAAAAATCGAAAGTACAAATGTAGAAAAATTATAAAAAATAATTTAATTTATTTAAAATAATTTTAAAAGTATTTTTATCAAGTTATAATTAAAAATAATTAAATTTATTTTGATAATTATTTTAAAAATATTTTTATTGAAAATGGTTATTCTTTATAATTTACTCATAGATAAACATATACTCGAAGTAAACTGAGACAACAACAACAACAATAAAATGAATCAATCAACTTTTGGCATATTAATTGTAATGGGTACATGTTCGGTGCCTCATTTTGCGACTGGTGGCACAGGGCAAAACACTTATGGTGTACGCAACCACCGGCCCTATATGCAATGGATCCAAATATCCAACCGTCCTAAATACAGCTGCGGTCTCAGTACTGCTTTCTTTGTTGTTAGGGCTCCATATATATCCCTCTCGTGTTGCTAGCCAAATGATACAAGTACGTCAAAATTACCAGTAATATATACTTGTAGCCATAGAGTAAAGAAGGCCTGTTCATTATCTTTATTATCCCTGACCTTTTTTCCTTCAGGAAAATATGTGCTATGCATTAGCCTTTTGCCCACAAACGCAATCATAGCCTAGAGAGGGTAGTTGAGATCATGCAATGAACTAACATCTCCAAGCAAAATCTTCAAAATTTCCCAGCACTATGATCTTAAACAAATTGTTGGTGGAGCTTCTTTCTGATGGTAGATGTGACATACGGGGGTCGCATTCCCCTGATCAGATATGTGGCCATGGATTCACATTCCATATTAGTCGAATCAAAAATGCATACGGATTATATATATAAATCAATCGGAGAGATCCGAAAACTGGTTATATGTTAATGAAATGGGTCCAAACAGCTCAGACTCGAGTTGAGAAGGTACAATTTCAGCGTCTTTTGAGCAAAGTACACCGTTCGGAAAACACAAGAATGTAAGATGTCAATGGGTGTAGTTAATACTAGGTACTCACCACATTTATTACAAAACAATAACATAAAACTTGTCCTGTACGTATATCTCTGCAACCTGCTAAAATTTAATTAATGAAGACAAAAGAAAATTAAACCCCAATGCTTGTCAACGTCGCTTCTATCCTATAATGTGACTTGTAATGACAGGTTCGGGGAAGGGCATCCTGTTTTTCCAAAGGGTTGTTCAATCGGAGAATTTGAAGTTGGTGGCAAAGGAATTTCTTATTTTGGGGTTTTGGATAATGGCTGCGGGAGCATACCTGCTTCTGTTCGATGTCCGTTTAAGGTGATTAATTATTTTCTAATCGAAATTTCGCGTGTGCAGTGTGAACTTATTATCTCCTTGGCACTTGTCATAGTTCTTGTGGAGATACAATCCAACTAAAAGCTACCCCAGAATTTAATGAAGAGAGAAGATTTAATTATGCGTGGCAAAATCTAGTTGGGATTTTGATTGGCTTAGTAATAATGCAGAAAAGACGCATGCAGCTTTTTTCTTTCTTTCTTTCTTTTAATTATATTAAACTCAAGGAGTCAATCATGTAAATAATTAGTTTAAACAATATTGTTCATTGAACTATATGTACCTTCAACAAAGTACTTGAAAGAGTGTCAAGGAATAAGAAAAGGGTTTGATCATTTGCAGTAAAACGATTTCAAATGTCAATAATCCCTCGGAGGGAGTTGTTAACAAAGAATGCATATAGCTACGTGAATTGATGCCATGGAAGCCAAGCAGTACCATGGACGGCCGGAGCTCGGCGAAGCCCCGATGGCAACAACTAAACCCATTTTCAAACGATTACCCATGAGGGAGAAGGAAGAAGGGTTTGTGACGATTCCACGTGGGGAAGGGACCCCTTGATTTGCTAAAGAGAAGTCATTTTTAACATGTGGGGGCACCTCCTTTTAATTTTACACAAAATAAACGAACTATTTGTCTAATAATCACACGTTTCGAGCCACCACTCCATGGTTACAGCAAGGTCGTAACTCGGCCCCGGACCCAGATGATGAGGTGTGACTCATTTCTCGTGGCTGACCTAAGCCGTTTCGAAATCAACTTAACTGCTACCAAACTATGCATGATTTTGGACGATCCCCCATGAAATTGTATAGGGTCCTTAGCAGATATAAGAAAGATCTCCTCCTTTTTCACAACTGACCGTAGTACAAAACTATGTTTAATCTCCTTGTCTTAATTCCTTTTCACTGAATTTAATCCATCTGGTCACTTAAACCCTAATAATCCTGTGATGGGCAGCTTCACTTTTGGATTTATCTTCTCCTTTTTTCGCCCATTTGCTCGTTCATTGAAAGCTCTTTCACTTTATTCAGAGCAATGGTTCGCGTCTCGATGTCTGGACTCCATCAGCAGTTGTTTTTTTTCCCCTCTTTTTGGCTTCTTTGTATTTGACATTCATTCACTATCGTTATCAAGGATATGTAAATTCATCTGCCAGGCCTCCTGAGTCAAGACGATGCTAATCATAAATGACATAAAATCATTTCATAAAAGGGGGATGAAACAATTCTGGACAGTTTTCTTTGCACCATTAATTCATCATCTCTCTTTTAAAACATAGTTGAAAAAAAGGTATTGAACCTTTCGAGAGAGTCCTTTGGGTGGTGAAAATATCAGGAATAGCATTTATTCTTTAAATTGGCTGATCGGACCCATTCAAGATATCTCTTTGAGGCTGTTGTGCTGCTTCCAACTTGTGACCCCAATTAAATGTAAGCCTCAATTTTTTTTTCCTTTTTTTTATACAAGTTGATATTAAAAAACCCAGTTTTGTTACCTTATCAGGAATCAATCATCAAAGGAGAAAAAAATCTCCATAATATTATAATATAACAAAGTCATTCAATATGATGACCTGACAGCACTGTAAACCCTAGATTGCTATGCCTCACTATACATTATATATATATATATTATGAAATGTGAACTGTGACATAGTTGCATGTATATCCTATTCCTACCAAACAATCTAGGGGAAACTTGTGGTGGGAGATGTGTATAAATTATAGAGACATGAGAGAAAGAAAAAGGGTGAAATGGTGATAAGAAAAGTGATGAATCTTGGGTTGGTGATGACTGATGAGGTGATGAAGAAGAAGATAAGGGGGAAAATGAACAGTGCAGGCGGGTGAAAATGGTAAAGAAGCGAAGTTGAAAAAAAGGAACAAAAAAATAAAAGGGAGGGTTTGCGTGGCACTAGGGAAGGGAACCCCATCGAACCATAGGGTCTAGCAGGTGACCATTTCTTGTGTGGGTCCTTGGCTTTGCTTTCTCTCTCAATGCTTATAAGTTGTGTATGAGTCATTGGGAAATGATGAAGAAAAATGTTGCTTGATCCGGAAATAGCTACTAGCGAAATAGCAATAGCGATAGCAAGTCTCTCAAGGAGCATGACCCCCTCCCTACCTCTTTCCTGCTCAGCTAAGTGCTTCTCACTGTCCCATCTTCAAAAACCCGCAGTCTCTCCATTCAATATTTCTTCAACATGTCTCTCTGCAGAGAGAGAACAAAAAAGGAACAGGTCACTTCCCATTGCTTTTTCTTCTATTTTGCTTCCAGATAGAAGCTGCTCGCTCCCAATCCCTAAAACCTCTCTCTCCATTCATCACTTTCACTTCAATTTTCCCTGTTGGGCAGCAAACAACTAGAACCCCCCTGTTTTCTGCCTGTCTTTAATTTGCTTCCAAAATAAAGCCTTCCTTGCCCCCTCCAATATAACCACACTCACTCACTCACTCTCTCTCTCTCTCTCTCCCTCCCTCCCTAGTTATATTGTACTTTTCCTTTGTACGTTTAAAGACACAATCCGTGGCGGAGTTAGTTATAGCTCTCTAGTGACTCTAAGTCACCACTAAAAAAGAATGACTGAGCCGCAAAATTCAGAGACAGAAAGCAGCTCCAACTCATTCTCTTCTCCCTCACTATCACCCTCATCTCCAGGGTCAACTCACTCACCTCCTAACTCGGTTCCTAGCTCAACTACCACCGTAAACGCGAAACCGAGACCACGTCATCAGATTCTAATAAAAGATCAAGAGAATGAGGGATTCAAGCAAGCACCCAGTTTACCGTGGCGTCCGAATGCGAAACTGGGGCAAATGGGTGTCCGAAATCCGCGAGCACGCAAAAAATCCCGCATTTGGCTCGGTACTTTTCCTACCCCTGAAATGGCAGCTCGTGCACACGACGTGGCCGCTTTAAGCATCAAAGGCAACTCGGCTATTCTCAACTTCCCTGAACTCGCTAACTCTTTACCCCGACCTGTGTCTTTAGCTCCCCGTGACGTCCAAGCTGCGGCAGCCAAAGCAGCCCAAATGGACAAGTTTGACTCTCCGACACCTTTCACGACATCGTCTCCACATTGTCATCGTCGTCATCGCGTCGTCTTTGGTTTCTCAGATGGACTTGTCGTCAGGGTCAGACGAGTTAAGCGAGATAGTGGAGCTGCCAAGCCTTGAGACGAGTTATGACTCGGTTGAGTTGAAGAATGAGTTTGTGTTTGTGGACTCAGTGGATGGATGGTTTTATACTCCACCCTGGCTTCAAAGCGTGGACGACTGTGGGTATGTTTGCGATCAGTTAGGAGTGCCAGAGAGTATCTTACAGAATGGTTTCGATGAAGGTTTGCTATGGGATTATTAGTGTTTTTTCTTTACTTCTTTTTCTTCTTGTGTTGTGAATGTGGTGTGTATCTTTGCTTTTTCTTTTTTGGGTTTCCTTTTTTCCCGGTTTTAAGCCCTTTTACTTTTTCTTTGAAGGGCTAAAACTCTGTCCCTCTTCCTCTGTTTATGTGATCTTTTTTCCAATGAATCCCACTGTACAGAGTTTAGAATGGGAAGAAGAGGAAAGTGTCATAAATTCCTTCCCTTCTGGTTGGTGTAAAACACTTTGAGGCTTTAAAAGCCTTTCTCTCTCTCTCTCTCTCTCTCTCTCTAAGGGAGCATAAGACAAAGCTTTAAAACTAGTTCAACAATGAAAATTCTGTGCCTGTTCTTTCATAAAAAAGAGAAAAAAAAAGTAGTACAAATAAATTTTCTTTGTAAATATTAGAAAAGGGTAGAGGGAGTAGAGTGAGTTGATCAAGTCATCTTCTACATTTTGCAATTAGGAATAGGGAAATATAACGAATCCGACAAAGAAAAACGGGGAAAGGAATTATGCTTAAAAGCTTCTCAAACAGCGGGCCTGCCACTAAAAAGCTCTAATTCTCCTTGTCATGAATGCTGAGGTTTGCTTTTGGCAGATGCCAGATGGTGAAATACGGTGAGCTGTGAAAGTGACCATTTTCCCCATTAGGGTAACAGTATCTATCCAACTTTTCTACTTTTTAACTTTCCATAAATACACTGCTTTGCCATCGATCGTAGTTGAACAGTACTGGTTTCTCTCGGTCAGTTTCTTTTGCTTGGATTTTTGTTCTTTTAGACTGAGTTAAAATATGGTGGCTGCAATGACCCTCGTGCATATATAGTGAACCCTTTTCTCGAGAATCAAAGCAAAACACTTGTTCATCCATGGCCATTGAATCATTAGGATGGCATCCTTTAATCGCGAATCCTCTCTCTCTCTCTCTCTCTCTCTCTCTCAGATAATTATTGTGCTGTTGAAAGCTCAACTAAATTTCCCTAATGGCGAATGAGGGCTGTCAATTAACTCCATAAAAAGAAGATGTAACGGATGTCAGGAATTTTCTTGGGTACGTCCTTGTTCATGTAAAAAAGGTTACTTCTTTAGTAAGTATAGGAGGGTTGCTTTTCCTCTTTTGTTTAATAATGATCATCCTTTCGATGCAGAAATCAACCTTTTTTGCATAAAAAACAAAACCAAAAAATAGAAAAAGAGAAAAGAAATCAGACCCTTTTTGAATTTGTCCCCAGATTTCATTTTAGTGTACACAGATGCCATTAATTTACTTAAAAAAAATAAACTATCAATTAATTAATCTCTCAAGTGGGGGGTCCATTGTTTTCCATTTCATGGTTGACCTCTAAAAATCTTGTCTAATGGAGTAATTTTCATGGGTTGGATGGCATTCACCACTCTCTCTAAAAGTTGCATTCAGCCAGATCATGCCCACGTACGCCCAATCCCACTCTCCTCTACCTTTGGTTTTTTGTCTTGTTCCTCTCCCCAGTTGAGGAATCCTTTGTTTGTCAATTTGTTAGCAGTGACTTTCGGTTTTATCTGGAAGGAAGCATTGGTCTCTCTCTTTTTGATTACTTTCTAGCTAAGTGCACAGTTTTGATACCTCAAATTATCTTCTTTTTAGGGGTAAATAATACATAAATATGCCCATGGAATGCGATTATTTGGAATAAAAATTATTTGAAAACAGTGAAGAATCACCTTTGATTCCCTGGCTTTTTTATCTAATGTTATCAAATGTCACATAATTAAAATAACGAAAAATAGACATGTGACATAATATTATAAAAATATAAATAATATCATTATTATTCCAATGCGATGGAAGGGCCCAAATTCAACGTTTTTTGGGTCTACTATTTATATGAATTCCACCCATTTTCAGCTACATTCAACTTAGTTTAATATTATAAATATGGGTTACCTTTCTATTCTGGGTAATGTACAAAATTCTCCATTGTTTTCCAACCCCAACTGCAACTGCAAATTGATTGGAAAGAATATATTCTTCCAGCAAAGGGGGGGAAAGTTCACTGTACATGCATGTCTGTTTCGTCCAGGTCAGATGTGAGCTTAGCTCTCCTCTCTTCAAATTATTTTTTTACTGAACAAAATACATTAAATAAGCAATTCTCGCTGTGCTCATTTCTGTGCTCTAGTTAGCTGGTGCAAGATTTTGATCAGGGGGCTCTATTTTAAAGTAAAGGTTATGCAGCAACTGGCATTTTTTTTCAATAAGTTAACACCACCATGATAACTGGTACATCCATGGAATTGTCTAGTAGCTGAAAATGCTTGAGTTCAAGTTTCCAATAAAAAATAATTCACTTGCTATTCTCAGAATCTAATCCAATAACGTAAGAAAATTATTTATTTATTTTTATTTCTTAATTAAAAAATGAATTTGAAGATTAGAAAAAGAGTAACACAGAAAGAAAAACGAAAACGCCTAGAACATAAAATAATAATCGACTTAATATACTATCCTATCCTTGCATGATATATATATTATGCTGATGCAAGTCTTTAACTTGTTTCAGCGTAATTGATCCCTGTCTTCTGATTAATTTATTTAATTTTGGTTCTTCATTTATAGAGATATATGGTAAAGATATATGCTAAGAATTTGTTGGGTTGCTATATTAGAGAGTACATTGAGTAGAAAATTAATTAACATGTGACAGTGAGCTGTAATTCCTCCACATCCTAATCTTCTTCTCTTTAGTATGGAATTTATTATGGAACATTGTACATCAGACAAAGATGTTGGTTAGCTTGCGGCCGGCTATGAATGAGGCGATCTGTTGGACAATGGGCACAAACAAAATGATGCACACGGCTGAGAGATTTGCCATGTCAACACCTACTTAAAAAACCCAATTCACAAAAAGAAAAAAAAAAGGTTCGATTGGTAATTAGTTATTTAATGACTAAATTGGAAGTGACAATAAGTAAATTCGATAGCCTTTTGGAGTGGTAAAATAATTAAGTTAATTGATTAAGCAAATGCCTTTTGTAGTTATTACATGTTAGTGAAAAAAAGAAAGGGGGAGGGAATTAAAGACAAAACATACTTTATCAACAGTCGTCTCTTTCCCTTTCAAAAAATCCAGCCAAATAGTGAATACAACCCCCCCATATCTCCAATGGGGTATGTTACCAATTTTCGTGCACTTCATATAATTTTTTTGTACGTATGTCTACTTAATTTGACAAATTTCAAAGGGACAAAACATAAAAAATAAAATAAAATAAAACCCACCATGTTGATGGGATTTTTTGTTCATTTTCGTAGTAGACAATTGAACTTTTCTAGACACACCAAATAATTGAAATAAAATCAGAAATGAAACTTCTTTCCAAAGTGAATCTTCTTTGGTCTCCATACACATACATACATGCATGGATCTAACACCAAGCTTTTCCTATCTCTCACGATCCCCACCCCCACCTCCACCCATATCAGACACCAAAATCTTGAATCCCACTTCCCAATCCCTCTCTCTCTCTATATATATATATTTGGACGCGTTTTCTCCACCTGTATCGGTTTATTTGTACGAGAAATGATATCCTTTCATGACCCCATCTCATAGC